TGAGTGTGCGCGCGTGTGCATGTGTGCGCGCGCGTGTGCATGTGTGTGTGTGTGTGTGCGTGTGTGTGTGTGTGTGTGTGTGTGTGTGCGCGCGCACACACGTATCAGTACCTGCAGGGAAGTTTCCAGCATAGTTACCACAGGAGCATATAGAGCAGAAGAGCGCTGGGGTGGGAAGGGGCAGGTGCTCTGTGCCACTGGGAAAAAGCAGAGACCTTGGCACCTTGAGGACCTTAATTGTCACAGACCACTTGCCTCCTGGACCCCTAGTTGGGCAGAACCAGGAATGAGGGTGACTGTAAACAGCTCAAGGATCCCCTGCGGTTAAGTCAAGGAGAGCCTCTTGGTTGGACCTGGGAGGGAGGGAGGGAGGAAGGGAGTCTGAGAAGCTGGGAGCAGGTGACCAATATACTAGTGTTAGAATCCAGGCCCCACGGATGCTGGCCAGATTTAGGGTCCTGGCCAACAAGCCTGGGCGGTAGAACCCAGATTTTTCCCCTAGGCTGTAGCCTCTGCCCGCTGTGCTTTTATCTGCTACATGTCTTTGAATGTGATCTGAGCATTACTGGTTTGGAAGCTGAAAAAATACCTTTTGATATTATCTTTAGCTTCAATAGACATCTCAAGAGCTCAGATGTGTCCAGGGTTATTGAAAAGGGGTCTCCAAAAAAGTTATTTTTCTTCTCTCTTACAGCTGAAAGGACTAAGCTAAGATCTCTTTCCTCTGGTGCTGGCTGATCAGCTGGCTCTCTTCTGTGGGAGTGCTCAGTGCTCATGTGGCTGGTGTTAGAACCCACAGCCTCAGTGCAGCCTGAGCAGGCTCTGTCTAGGCACCTGCTTCTTGAGGTGGACTGAGCCAGCTCTGAGGTCTCACGGTATCGCTCAAGAGGGGTGGGTGACGAGGACCTTAACGCTCCTCCAGCACCCCCCACTGGCTGCATGCTTGACTCTCCTACACCTTTCTTGCCAGGTGATCCCCTGTATGTGGAATCCACCTCAGATGACTGCCATTTGTGCCTTAGACCCACTGCAGCAGCCCCCTCCAAGCTCTTTCTGCTGCCCTTCCTCCCCGTCTCCCCAGAGAGCCACCGGGGAACTAGCCTGACATTCAGTCAGCCAGAAGAGCCACAGCAGGACTCCCAAAGGAGCCTCCACAATACTGCTCCCCATCTGCCTCTGCACAGACCCCGCCCTGGTCCATGTCCCCTGCTTCCTGCAGGCTGTCCTCACAACACCCCACTCCTGGGTCACACGTCCCTTAATTAGATCTGACTGTTGAGCCAGCTCTTAACCTCACTGCCTGACAGAACTCCTGAGGTCTCAGCGCTATCCAGAGCCTGTAGATGGGGAGACCGGGGACTCAGTATGTGTGGGTCTCAGCCCAAACTCAGGATATCTCATTACATTTAAGGAGATGGAACATAGAGCAGGAGAGGAAGGAGTCCAAGGCCATGAGAGAATTCTTTCGGCAGAAATGAGTGAGCAGTTTTTATGTGGGGCACTGGCAGTCATTGCCCCTGGAGAAGACCTGCCACAGGTGAAATCCTGACGACTGGAGTCCCCTCCGGGCCACCCGCATACCCACCGAGGAGGACCACTGAGAGGGTTAGGTGGGGCTATTTCCAGCCTCAAGGATCTCTTATGATTAGATAACGAGTAGTGAAAGGTGTCTTGCCCGCTGCTTCCTTTACAGCCCAGCCCTCCATCTTGCCTGCACCTTACCTCTCATGATCCCACCGGAGGACCGAGGGACAAGCTCCCATGTGATCACTGTCCCTGTCACTGCCCAGGGCCTGTCCACCCTTGGCTTGTGTCTCTGCTTTCTTCATATAGGCTGCAACTTCTTTCTTTTTTGCCTCCACAGCCACAATGAAAGACGGAACACATTTCTACACCCGGTGACTGGCCAGGTCCCAGAGGAAAACAAAAAATTTGACTTGAAAACGTAGGTTTGCCCCATTTACTACCTGACCTTTCCATTTGTAACTACCACCACCCCACTGCCACTTTGCAGCTGGGAGGGGGAAGGGAGCAGGGGGGAGGAAGGCACCGGAATTTAGAGTCACTCCCCTCAGTTCTGAGGACCTAGTGCTTCTGAGACCCTCTGGCTTGACACCCTCATCTACTTCTCACAGAATCTAACGGATTTCAGGTTGGTGCATCCCACAGGCTGAGCTAAAGGAGTGAGGCGAGGCCGAGGCTGGTACATCCCCGGGACCTCTGAGGGGATAGCGAGGGAATCTGATGTGACCACGAGAGCCGAGTGTTAATTCCACTTGCTCTGCTGCTTGGCTCAGTAGAAGGAAGGAAAGAAGGAAGGAAGGAAAGAAGGGAGGAAAGCAGGGAAGAAGAGAGGAAATTAAATGACTTTCATAGGCCACTGGGCTGCTGTGTCTTTTAAATTAGAAGGAAAAGGAGTTCAGAGTCCTAAGGTCGAGGTTTTAAAAATAAATTTAGAAGAAAGAGGAGAATGTCCAGGATTCCTGGCATATAATCTCAGAAGAGCTAAGGGAGCAGCCGAGATGAACTCTTAACAGCACTTAGGAGATCAAATTTTGTGCTTGGTGCTGGAACAGTGGGTGGCAGGGTGGGAAAGCAAAGGGTGGTTTTCACTGTTTCTTGGTTCTGACTAGTCTCTTTCTTCTCTTCTGGTCAACTTGAAATCAGATCGGCCTTGGACATGTCCAATAAAGCAGGTGGGAAACGCCCGGCTACCACCAACAGTGACATATCCAACCACAACATGGTGTCCGAGGTCCCTCCAGAGCGGCCCAGCGTACGGGTGAGTCCAGTCTCCAAGGCAGGTTGTCAGGCAGGAATCCTAGGAAGCGTATTAGCCTGCCCCGCTCTGTCTGCAGGCTCCAAAGAGCAGGTGAGGCGCTCAGACGAGAGGCTCGTAGCAAACCGATGTCTAGATCAGGGGTTCTCAATTTCAGCCCTGTTAGTATTTTGTGCTGGCTAATTCTTTGCAGTGTGTGACTACACATTATAGGATGTTGAGCAGCATCCTTGGCCTCTACCCACTAGGTGCCGCCCACTCTGTGACAACCAAAGATGTCTCCAGCATTGTCAAATGTCCCCTATGGAACAAAATTACCCCACTCTCATTGAGAACCACCAATGTAGGGGGACAGCAAAGGAAGAGTAACTCATGAAGGACATGGCAACTGAGAGCCCAGAAAAGGAGGAGGGAGGAAGAGAGTCTCAGAAAAATGTTGCCAAGAGGTCGAGTAAGATGTCTTACCTAGATGAAATTGTCCATGGGGTTTAACAACATTGTGGTAATTAGAAGCCTCACAAGTTCCAGTGGTGTGACGAGGGCAGAAGACAAGCCAGAGAGGGCTAAAGACGGGGTGCGAGGGGAGATGGAGAAACACTGAAGAGTAAGTAGACACTGCTCTTCGAAGGAACTACACAATCGATGGTGGTCTAGTCACGCAATGGAGTACTCTCCAAAAATTAAATGGACCAGAGCTCTATGTAGGAGCAAGGTTAAATATCGAAAACATAAAGTGGAGTCAAAAGCAAGTTGCAGAATGTGAAAAATATCATTTGTGTAAAATGTACAAGCATGAAAAGCAATGCTATATTTTTATAGATAAATAAGCAGTACAAGCATATGATCACGGACGGGCCAGTGGTTGCCTCTAAAGAGGAAAAAAGGCTAGGAAGGGGCTCAAAGGGAGTTTCAGCTCTATCTGTCATGGTTTTTTTAGAAAAAAAAAACACAAACAAAAAACCCAACAAGTAGTGGAGATTTATTCCCTACTTTTCTGAAATGTTTGGAATATTTCAAAAAGTATATTTAAAGAAACCTGACTGTCAAGGGAAATGAGGGGCAGAGGGTGGGAGCTAGAAGGTCTTGCACAAGATGGAGGTAGATTTTCTTTGTTCATTTTGTTTTGCTTCGAGATGTTAGAGTCAGGAGGGGAATGACCCAGTGGATAGGTTCAGGAGAAAGGAAATAGTGAGTCCCATTTCTGTGGAGACAGGAGTCAGATGCAGAGGTGCTGTTAGCCTGAGTAGGGAGGGGGTGCTCTTCCTGAGACTGCATAAAAAAGACATGGGAAGCTGGGGAGTGGGGAGACCAGGAGGTTAAAGAAGGTTCCACCTGACCTTCTTGGCTTTTCCAGGGAAGTGGGAGGTTTTCTGCTGAGAGGAGGGGATTTTGGGGGCTTGAGGATTTGCCCAAAATTTGGAGAATGGGAATAGTGGTCAACAAGGGACATATGAAATATTGCCCAATAATGTCAAAAGGTCATCTGAGGTCCTGGGCTGAATCTGCGTGGCTCTAAACCCCAGGTGTGTGATTTCATCCAGCAACGCTCACAGCCTGGCTGTGGAAGCAGGGAAGGCTGGTGGTTGGATTGGCCTAAGGCCGAGGCTTGCTGGGAAGCAGTGGCAGAAAGATAAGGAGGCTGGAGCATTGAGGGGTTGGCAGAAGACTGGCTGAAGTGGTGAACTACTTGGAGTAGCTTCTAGGTTGCTGAGAGGAGGCAACGCTATGACGGATGATTGACAGAGAGGAAAGGGAAGGATTTGGGGACTTGCCTATTCTTAGGACAGTAGATGACTTCTTCAGATGGCTAATCTCAGCCATTATATATAGGTGTTCACTAGTAAGGTTCAGAAAATGATTTTATTTCCCAGTTTTGGAGATATTTTATAATAAAGCCCAATTTCTTCTTTTTTTCCTTCTAGAAGGACTTTATTAATGTTTAATATAGCCAGATTCCTTGCTAGGCTCTGATAATAAAGAGATGAGCAAAAGTTCCTCCCTGTGAAGAGCTCACAGTCTAGTGAAGAAGACGAAAGGCTAACATTGCAGTGTGACAAGGTTTAGATTCTCAGAATGGATGGAGAGCAGGGGGCAGCTAACTGCTGTGAGGGATCAGGGAGGTTTCGTGGAGTAGGGGGGTCTTCACTAGGCTTTAAATGATGGGTTGGGATTTGTAGATAAGGGAGATGGGCTCCCCAACCCTGCATGGGAGGGCAAGTGAGCAAAGGCACGTGGGATGAGAGAGAAGCACAGGAGTGAGGCCTGACCAGGGGCGGGGCCTGTCTGCTGGCATGACAGAGGTGGGCTACGGGCCCTGCCTGGTCTTATAGACCTGTTCTTGTGTGCTGTGCTGAGGAATCTGAATTCTCTTCTAAGTAGTGAGCAGTGGTAAGAAATTTTAAGCGAGAGTGCCATGATTACATTGTGTTTTAGAAAGATAGCTTTAGTTTATGGCAGGGGATGGGCAGCGAGAAGGGATGACAAGGGATGACAATAAGTGCAATTTGAGAGGAAAGAACGGATTTGAGACCTTTTAGCAAAGTAGACTTGTCAGACCTGCGTAAATGACTGTATAAAGGGTTGGAGGGAACAGTATGAGGTGGTTCAGAGCTCTGGTTTGGGTGACTGGCCGGATCATTGTACCATTCACCAAGATGAGAAATACCAAAGAACGGGTTTGGTTAGAGAGAGGATAGTTTGGTTTTGCACTTTTCTAAATTGTGGTTGGACAGCCAATTACCAAATGGACTGGGGCTAGGAGAGAGATTTTTAGATGTAGATTAGGAAATTTTCAGCATATTGCTGGTAGTTGAGCCAATGGGTATAGATGAGATTTCAGAAATTACGTATAATGGGATAAACAAGAATAAAGGGATAAAAGTTTCATTAAGGTCCACAGACACCTAAGAGCAGGGGTGGAGACTGAGGAGGAGTGACCACGGATGGAGGTATTGAAAAGGAAGAACAGCATCACAGAAACCAAAAGAAGAGTTTCAGGAAGGACAGAAAGGTTAATATCGTCCGGTGCTTTAGAATGGTCGAGGACTGAGCAGCCTTACCTCAATGACATTGCAAGAGCCATTTCACAGAAGAGGGGGAGGAGGTTTAGGAGTGAGTGGGAGGAGGGGAACAAGACTCTTCCCAGTAGCCCATCCCTGAAGAGAAAGAGGGAAGGGAGGGAAAGCGTTACCTGACAGCAGGTACAGGTTAGAGAGGCATTCATGGGGGGAGGGAGGAAGAGAGAGGGAGAGAGACAGAGAGAGGGACGCTTCAGGATGGAGATATCTGAGCATGTTTGCCGAGGAGAAGAAGCCCATGGAAAAGGAAAAGTTGAAGACAGATTGGAGAGGAGATCACTGATGGAGCAGTGTCAGAAGAGATGGTGGCTTGGATATGGTGGCCTTAGAAAGGAGGACAGGGCTTCTTCTTTTGACATTAGTGGGAAAGAGACAAAGATAGTGGCAAGAGAAGTAATTTTCTGGGTCAAAGGGTATGAAATTGAGGAAGTGCATGTCTGATAACCTCAGTTTTCTCTGTGGGGGAGGACCCGGGTCCACCGTGGGGAGGGCAGAGAGGGAAGCTGCAGGCTTGAGAGAACGGTGGGGGTGTGGAGTGGAGAAGCCACTTGGGGCTGAGCCCAGCTGGGGCTGGGGACCGTGGATCTGCAGTGGCCTCATCTGTACTGCAATGTGATTTTCCTCCAGCAGCACCATAATCTTCCTGTGAGTGTGAGTGTGTGTGTGTGTGCATGTCAGGGGGTGGTTACTTTGATTAATCTTGGATTTTGAGAGATGATTGAGCAGAAAGACCATAGATGGGCTGTTTGAGATTGCAGTTGATCTACCACAGAGCCTCAGCTTTGCAGGGAAATAACTAAAACCAGGAGGTGGCTGATGGATCCAGGAGAAGCGGAAGAACTGAGGAGCTGGGGCCCCAGTGGAGTAGAAAAGCTTGTGCAGTTGAGTGACAGAATGAGAAAGCCCAGAGGATGGAACGTTGTGTTCAGAAGGTGGGAATACTAGAGTTGAAGATGTTAGCAGTGAAGGGACTTAGGGACCGACCAGGTCTCAGGTGTGGCCATGGGAGTCAGTCTGGGGTGGCAGTGGAAGATTTTGGAGTTGAGGATATCAAGGTCATATGAAGTTGGGGCACTGGATGGGTCATCCTCGAGAACGGTGGAGCCACAGTGATGGCAAGACTTAAAATGAAAAGGATGATCAACTCTGAAAGGATCATCTGGAAGCTGATAGTAATAAGAAGGGCTACATGGTGGAAGAAGGAAGATTTTTGGTGCTTCAGGAAAGAGATCGTTGTCAGAATGTGGCAGAATGACAGTGTGCACGTGGCAATAAGGAGCCAGGAGAACATTCGCGTAGGTGTTCCCAGCTCTGTGGTGTGTTGGACATTTGAGAATGAACAGGACTCTGAGAGAATGGTGATGTAGGGAAGCTACTTGCAGTTGAATGGGTTCCAGAAAGGACGATGCGAGGGGTAGGGAGTAAGGACAGTGGAAGAAGGGCAGGCCAGGAGTAAAATGAAAAGTCTTATTTTCGCAAGAAAACCCAAAAAGTCCCCAGCACTGCCAGACAGAGAGGACTATTATTTTGGACTATTATTTTGAGACCTTTTTTTAGAAATAAGAAAAAAGCCCAAAGACTTAAGAAGCCATGCATGCCTTTGAGTTAGTAACAGATCCAAGGCTCCCACGTGGGCCTTTGAGCGTGAGGGCACCTCAGGGTAGGCCAGGAGAGAGATAGCTGCTCCCCTCGCCAGTGGAGCAGGAAGCAGGGGAGGGAGGAAGTCAGGCCAGCTTCTCTCTCTGCCTGCCAGGCCACCCGGACCTCTCGCAAGGCCATTGCCTTTGGGAAGCGCTCACACTCCATGAAGCGGAACCCCAGTGCACCTGTCAGCAAGGCGGGCTGGCTCTTCAAGCAGGTGAGGTCTCCTCTGCCATTCTGTCCACCATGCCCAGTGCTGCCCTCTCATAGCGCTGTAATTCCTCTGTGGCTACAATGGTCCATGTCTATTTTGGTATGTCTTCACATGTCTTAATTTTATGAAGGCCCAGAGAAGTCGAGTATCTTCACCAAATGACACAGAACAATTAGCATCGTATTTGGGAATCCAACTAGATCAACTGATAGGCAGATACAACGATTTTGAGATATGTTAGGTCACCCACCCGATCAGAGCAACCCACTGGCTCATCCTCGGGAGGTCCCTCTTGCTATGAAAGCGGGTGGTGGTGGTGATGTGTCCTTTAAGTCTGGGGTCCAACAGTTCCCCCCACTGGCCTTGCCACTGTCCCTGCCTGCCCTCTGCTCACTCATTCTGGCTCATCTCTCTCCTCTTTCATCTTCCCCGAGGGAGGCAATGAGGCCCAGGATGGCAGAACTGAAGGTCACAGGCGATATCCCAATGTCAGTTCTCTGCATCTGGGGTCTCAAGAGGGTTGCTGCAACTCGTTAGTGGCCAAGCTGCAACCAGAGGCAGGATGTCCTTGTAGTTAGTACAGGGCCCTCCCCGCCACCCCCTCCCCCATGCCCAGCTAAGGTCCCTGCTATCTGTCTCTCCATGTGCCCTGCAGGCCAGCTCTGGGGTCAAGCAGTGGAACAAGCGCTGGTTCGTGCTGGTGGATCGCTGCCTCTTCTACTATAAAGGTGAGCTTGCCCCCGGGCCAGTGGGGGCTGCGGGAAGCCAGGGCTCACCATTCTCTCCCGTTCTGCCGGATAGCTGGGCTTTGCTTTGGATGGAAGTTGGGCTGGGGCATACCTCTCCCCTGCAGTCTCTGTCACCAGTGGGGATGTCACAGCGGGATAAAGACAAAGCTCACTTTCTCATACATTCACTTACTCACTCACATTCAATATTTACTGAGTGCCTACTGGGGTTTCAGGCACAGTCCTAGGTCCTGCTTGGTGACACAGGGAGTGAACCGAACTGTCATGTGATAGATGTGAAGTTCCAGGCCAAGGGAGGAGGGAGGAAAGGAGGAAGAGGGAAGGTCCCTAGTCACTACTAGTAGGTCACCTACTAATTGCAGTTTGTATGCCTCCTGTCCCATGGATGCACGATCCAATCTGAGAAGGCAGCAATTTTTGTTCATTTTGGGCACTGCTGTATCCACAGTACCTACACCAGTGAGTGGCGCATTGGGGGTGCTCCACCAGTGTGGAATGAATGACAACCCCCAGCCTCTGCCCTCTTCGCCACCCAACACTCACTCCCAACCTTCTCAAAAAAAAAAGCAGAGCAAAGATCTGATAACTGTGATGCAGCAGTCTTAGGAGAGTATTTAAAAAATATATACAGCAGCATCGTGTCAAGGAGGGTGCCGGAGGGAACCAGTGAGGCTGATGACAGTGGTGGTCCTGTCACACTGACGCCGGGCGCTGGGAAGAGAAGGATGAAATAACTTTGCAGGAAAGAGAGGCTGTTCCCTTCCCCTCCACGCCCCTCCATGCCGTGGGACTGGCAGAGCCCTGACTTTTTCCGGCCTCCTGGGAGCAATTCAGTGAATTATTAACTTCGGCAAACAAAGGCTGTACCCAGTGATCCCCCACAGTGCTGATGTGCCCTGAGTTGCTGCCACCTGAACCCTGAAGAGAAGAATCAGTAAGAGGCTGCACATACAGGATCTAGTCACAGAAGAAACCCCAGCACTGGGGGAGAAGGATGTGCCCAGGCTGGGCCCCAGGATCGAGGGCTGCACTGGAGCCAGAATATGGACAAAGCTGAGGAAAGCCAGGCTCTGTGCAAAGGAGAGACTCTGGGGCTGGCGTGAGGACAGACGCTTAAACAGCTGAGCACTTCAAAGTGCACTGCGATAGGGGTCACTGGCCACCGAGAGATGCTCCCAGGAGACCCCCTAAACACAGGCCTGGACAGGACTAGACAGGGGGTCTGTCTCCTCCAGAGGTGGACGGCCTCTGCTTTCCTAAAGAAGCCCTGGGTCCCCAGCCCGTGTCTCCTGCTCCTTGGGCTTAGCCCTTCTCTGTCCGAAGCCTGCACGGGAAACTGGAAGGTGGGCCTAGTGTCTCGTGCAGGTAATGAGTAAGAAGAGAAGGGGAACTAGTAGAGTTTATAATCCCTAAGAGAGTTCTTCTGAATCCTATCTGAGGGTTTTACAGTGTCCCCAGCCCGGGGAATAGGGAGCTATCCTGGGCAAGCGGGGAGAGTCTTGCCCTGGCTTCACAGTTGCCTCCCACCCCGCAGTTCCACCCTTTCTGACCTCTTGCTGACAGCTGGGAGCCCGACTAGCTAACCCATCAGGCTCCGTTAGAGATCTAGGATGAATTATGAAACAGCCTGATTGTTGGCCTGATCCAGGAACCAGAGGGCCAGGAGGAGGCCCTGTAGGGGTGCGTCTTTCTGCAGAGACAGAAAAGGGGAGGGTCTATGTCAGGAGAGGACAAAGCAAGCTGCTGGTGCCTGGGAGAACCTTAGAAACAGTGACCCAGAGGAGCCAGAGCCAAAGATGGGGCCGTCTACTCTGCCGTGCCCTGTCTCACCCATCATTAGCCTGTTACGTGTGTGGCCGTTGGAATAGTCTTGTGTGGAGAGGCACTATGCGTAGGAGTGGTTCAGAACGATAGCTTGGGTTCAAAGAGCAGTCTACTACTTTCACTTCAGTAACCTTGGACGGTTAAGAACCTTTTACTTAACCTCTCTGTCTCAGCCTCCTTACCTTTAAAATGGGGGCAATGACAGTACCTGTTCATCGAGTTGTTGGGAGGGCTAAATCCATGAAGGCATTTCACTTAGAACAGCGCCCGACATAGATCGACCACTCCAAAACTTTAGCTCTGACTTACTTGCTTACTTGTGTACTAGAACGTCAGCTCCCCAAGAGTGGGGCGCCCTCCCTCCCACTCACTCCAGAGCCTCTGTGTCTGGAGCACGTCTGCAGAGCTGTTGCGCACCCCAGCACCCTAGCTCCAGGGAGCGTGCCTCCTGGTGCTATGCAGAGCACAACCTATGTGGTGATGAGGGCCTGACAGATACTGGATGAGCAGCAGACATTTATTGCTTGTTGCTATTTATCTAATAGGGCTGATACTCTCCTCTTTCCTCCCCCTGCATGCACACGCGTGTGCACACACATCTCGCCTGTGCCTCTGTTTCCTGACAGATGAGAAGGAGGAGAGCATCCTGGGCAGCATCCCACTCCTGAGCTTCCGGGTGGCTGCGGTGCAGCCCTCGGACAACATCAGCCGAAAACACACCTTTAAGGTCAGCTGGCCTTCTTCTCCCAGGTCAGATGTTGGGGGGAGGCCTGCTCTCCTAGAGCACAGGGGGATGGACGAGCTACCTCCTGAAGGAGTCTCAAATGGAGGCGGAGGGAGGGAGTGGGCAGCGGTCCCTGGACTCGGTACAGGCTGTCGTAAGGTTAAAGTGAGGCCATGCCAGGACCCCCTCCTCTTTCCTCGGGGGTCGGGTGGGTGATTCTCCCCAGGGTGGGGCCAGTAGAGATGTGCTTCAGTGATGCTGCAGTTTTTCCTGGGAAGGAGGAAGGAGTGTATCAGCCCTGTTAGGACAAATATCGATAAATGTAGCCCAGCTGTGTCCTGAGCCCATGGACCCTCTGCCCAGTGACCTGGCATCTGGTACCACGGAGACCACTTGCAGCAGAAGCGGGAGCAATGGATTGGGGTGGGGGTTGGGGGCTGCTGTGGTCCTTTCTGAAAAGTCTCCGCCCCACCTTGGGCCCAGGGAACTAGACCCACAGTCAAACTTACCAAAATTTTAATCTTTAAAGAAAATCAGGAATTGAGTCTCATTACAGTCCAGAGAAGAAAACCTCATGTAGATAATTCAGAGAGTGAGCACCCGGGAAGCTGGGCCTCACAGGCCTGCTCGGTGTGGCTCCTTCAGAACCCTGGGGATCCGCCCATCAAAGGCTGCAGCTGGCTCATTCTAGGCAGGGTTTTTCCACATTTAAAAATTCATGACCCATTTAAAACAAAATCCCAGGTCCTTTTTGTATCTTATGATGTAAAGACCCAAGGTTCCTCTTCATTTTTCATGTATGAAATTCTGATGTTGACCATGTATTTTCTTAGTACAAAGATTTCTCTCTCCCAATTGCTGTCCAAGGCCCTGAAAACCTAAAGCCATGGTTTTAGGACCTGCAGGTCACGCCAGGTCAGTGCCTGAGCCTCAGAGACTCTGCCCATTTCTGTTCTTTCAGACTCTGATCACCTGGCCACAGAGAAGAGGTGGGCAGCATACACAGGTGCTGCTCTGGGGAACAAGGAGGGACTTCTTTGGCACATAATTAGTTTTCATACTCCCCGGGTCCTTGTGTGAGAGGTGTGAACAGAATGAACAATTAATAAAACTGGCTCCGGGGAGCCGGGTTCTAGCTGGGGAAATAGGAACAGGCTGTTTAACCAACAACAAACAACCCTGCTGTACACAGGAGCCCACACACACCCACACAGTCAGACAGCCTGTCGTACCCTCCCTTTCAGACCTGTGCATAGACACACGCATACGCCAGCTCGGAGCTCAGTAGGCATCGGATCAGCATCCCGATGACTGATACACACCCACCAAAACCCCAGATCTCATTTCTGTGCCCATTGGCCCCTCTCCTTCCCTACCCCCTAAGGAGTTTACTGACTCTTTAAACTCAACTCAGAGGGCTGTGCTCAGTGGTCACAAAGGGTTCCAGTTGTGGCTGATCAGCGGCCCTTCCCTAGGGAAGGGAGGGGAACTAAGACAGATGGGAGGTTTGTCCTGCTACGCTACCAAGTGAAACTCTTGGATGGCTGATAATGAGCCATGACTGTTCCTGCCTAGCCTACCGCTGAATGCCTGCCTTAACCTCTTCCTATCCCAGCCCCACGGCGAGGTGAACTTTACCCCACTGGGGCACCCCCCTCAATTCTCTGGTTCCAAGCTGGTGTCCCCTCCCGCTCCCCATCATTTGCTCTGTCCTGCCCCCCGCCCCCAGCCCTCTGCCTTCCCCTTTTTGCCCTTTAGCCAGCAGTTGTTCCCAGGCCTTTTCTCCCTCCTGTTTCCCCAAGGGCACGTTGGCATGTTGTGTCCACCAGCTTGACTGTGAGCCCTTCAAGTGCAAAAAGCATGTCTTTACTTTTCTTGTGACTGGTGCCCAGAGCAGAGCTTTGCACTCACAGAAGGCTCATTAAATTAACTCATTTGCTGCCCACTTCTACCAGCCACAGGACACGCCCATGAGTCCCCGCTGTGTCTCTCTCCTCTGTGATAACCCTGTGTTCACCCCAGAGGTTGTGACTTGCCTGGGCCTCTTCACAACTCCACCACTTTTCCTCAGCACCTCCCTACCTCTGCTGACATGCTGGGCTCCCTTGCTAGAGGGTAGGGACTGGCAGATCCAGAGGAAGGGGGCCCATCTCTGTCCCTAAAGAAGGAGTGTACACCCACACTGGGTAAGGGTTCCTGTCGAAAATAAACCCTGCGCAGAGGAAAGGGCTGCAGTGGAGGGAAGGTTCAGCCGGGAGAGCATTCGGAGGGTGTCGGATTTCACATTGCTGCTTAGGAGAGCTCTGGAGCGTGGTCAGAGGAGCCCCGTCTCCTCTCCTTCCAAACCCAGAGACCCAGGATTTGGAACCCAGGGATCAGAGGCCAAAATGAGGTTTCCGTCTGAGACTCAATAACTTTTGGATCTCTCATGCTGAGTGGAGAAAACAAGGCTACTTGCTTTTCCTGGGAGATTGAAAGTCTCACCTGGGGAGCATGCAGAGGTCCCAAAAAGAATCTAGCTCTGGAATATCTTTTCTTTGTGGCCTAAGAACCTTGAGTTTCACCAGGTAGACCCCTCCCCATTCAATAGTTGAATCAATTAAGGCCGGAGCTGGTCAGGAACTGAGCTAGGGTTAGCGCTAGGATGCCCTGACTTCTCTCCACCACCAGCCAAAATTCCCTTGGTGCAAGCTCCCTCTTCTGGTGGGCTGAACTGGGCATTGCTGGATGCTGTCGTCCCGATGGTGACACCGAATGGAAAGGGATAATCTGAATAGCTCCCACTTCTGTCTGTACCTTAACATTCCTGCCACGTCATCTTCTATCTCTCCCTCTGGTGTTTGGTTGACCTGTTCTCTGCTTCTCCTCCCTCTGACCGCGTGAGGACCCCTCCTCTGGACAGGAACTCTCTTCTGGGTTCCCGCCTGCCGCACCTGCTCTCGGCCGCCAACTAGGTAGCGTGCTCTGATTGTCTGTGCATGCCCCCTGCATGCCCACGGAGAGAGAGGCCTGGCTGTCCCTCTGCACGGAAGAGACAGTGCTAGCTTCCCAGAGGCCAAGAGATTGGCGTGTGCTAGGGGGCATCTCTCCCAGACATCGGGTAATTGCCCTTCGAGTCAAAGATGCAATTTGATGGGAGACTGGGTGTGGTAATTGTCCCTCCTGCTTAGAATCACCTCAGGTGGGGCAGGTAAGTTTACCTGGGCTGCCTAGTGGTGTCCAGAGAGCTAGCCATGGCAGACACCTGGGATGGCTGTGGGCCACCCTCCTCACATTGCTCCTGAGCTCCTTGTGGGAAAAAGAACTGCAGGCCAAGGGAACAGCCTTTCTGACCACCCACTCTTTTCTCTACAGGTGACTGTGTGCTGGGTGGACGAGGCCGGAGCCAGTTCCACGCACTGCCTCTCCCCACAGGCTGAGCACGCCGGGGTCCGCACCTACTTCTTCAGTGCCGAGAGCCCCGAGGAGCAGGAGGCCTGGATCCAGGCCATGGGGGAGGCTGCCCGAGTTCAGATCCCCCCAGCCCAGAAGTCTGTGCCCCAAGCTGTGCGTCACAAGTGAGTGCCAAGGTCCTGGGCCTGGGCGTGGGGAGAGCTAGAGAACTGAGAAGGAGAGAGGAAGCGCCTCACTTTATGCCATTGCTGAGCCCAGTGTGCTGACCTGAACTTCTGAGAACATGTGAACCATCTCCTTGCATCCCAGCAGGGCGCCTGGCTGAGCGACTTCAGAGCTGGTGGTACCTTCCCCTGTCTGCCTCCTCACCCTCTCTGTGAGCGGGCGGAGGCCAAGAGAAAAGCCAGGTTCCGCTGGGCCAGGAGCCAAAGACCAGGGTTATTTGCTTATTTTTTCTTGGCTGTGCACGTTAAGCACACAGCTTTTGGAGGAAGGTGGACTCAGATACGAATCCCAACCTGGCCACTTGCCCACAGCGCGACCCTAGTGTAAGTCACTAACCCCTGGGAACCCGAGTTTCCTTTCCTCAAAGACAGTAATTATAATCCTACTGTATGGGTTATTGTGAGGTCTAAGCGGTAGGTAAGATGCTTGGCACATTGTGAACACTCAGTACGCAGCCGCTTCCTCGTCTGCAGTCTCGGCGCCTGTCTCTACTTTCAGCCGGTGTTGAGTCAAGTTCAATGTTAACAGGGATCTAGAAGGAAGTGTGACAGTATAGACTCCGAGTCTAGTCACATATCTAAGAAACGTTACGAGCAACATCTCAACAAGGATGCTCGAACGTGCTGAATTGGGGAAATATAGGGAGAACATTGTCAGGAGATTTCATCTTTGCTTCGATGAAGGGGCGTGCCTCCAGAAGTTCATGCATTCATTTCATAAATATTTCCTACAAATAGAAGTATGTAAGGAACTACATCAGGTGCTAGGAAAACAAGGGAGGAAAATTCTGACAGTCTCCTGCCTCGTGGAGCTCATGTTCTAACAAAAAGTCAGTGCTGGGAAAAGCCTGTTTTTGAGAAGGGAACTAGCATGTTTCTATGCCTGCGAAGTTTGAGGCAATAGCTTCTGCCCTGGTGCCGGCCATGTTTGATCCCACAGCAGCCCTCTGAAGGCAGGCATTGTTATCCCCACTGAATCAAGGAGCCCAAGCCTTATGGAAGTTAAGGAACTTTCTATGGGAGAGAGAGCTGGGACATCAAGGGGGGCTGGTGTTGTGGAACTTCAGTGTGGTGAATACCCACTGGGGGGACTGGATCAGAGAAGACTCCAAAGGAGACCGAGGCGGGGTGAGATTGGTTTTGGCCATAGCTCAAAGCCTGGGCTCCAGGCAGGTCAGCAGAAGGGAGTGGAGAGCGGCCCATGGGAGAAGTCCCAGAGGGCAGAATGAGCACGGCGCACATAGGCAGGATCGGATGACTTTTTATGATGCTGGGGAAAGAGAATTGTAATTCACTGAATTCTGTTCCCATCGCTATCTTCCCGCCCATCCTTCTCTATTCCTTTTCTCCTTCCCAGTCTACCACCCCCAACCCAACCCCATGCTGGGCTGGAGTCACTTACAACATCTCCCTTGGCACCCTGCAGCCACGAGAAGCCAGATTCAGAGAACATTCCGCCCAGCAAACACCACCACCAGCCACCCCACAACAGCCTCCCCAAGCCTGAGCCAGAGGCCAAGACTCGAGGGGAGGGTGATGGCCGAGGCTGTGAGAAGGCAGAGAGGAGGCCCGAGAGGCCCGACGTCCAGAGCGAGCCTCTGGTGAAAGCCAATGGCATCCAAGCTGGACTGGAACCAGCCTCAGAGCCGGGCAGCCCTTACCCGGATGGCCCAAGGGTCCCAGGGGGCGGGGAGCGGCCCACCCAGCCCAACGGCTGGCAGTATAGCTCCCCAAGCCGGCCAGGGAGCACGGCTTTCCCGCCTCAGGACTCAGAGAGTGGAGGACACCGGCGGAGCTTGCCCCCACACGCCAACCCCGACAAGATCGCCCAGCGCAAGAGCTCCATGAACCAGCTTCAGCAGTGGGTGAACCTGCGCCGGGGCGTGCCCCCACCTGAAGACCTTCGGAGGTGAGGCCTGGGCGGGGCAGGGGTGGAGCTGGGGTGCTGTCCTGGCTATAGGCTAGGGCTGGGGTCACAAAGTGAGCGGCATCCCCTGCTGGAAACCGTGGAGCCTGGCTGAGTCGGGAAACCAAGAAAACTCCAGGATTCCCAGCTGGCCCCGATCGTTCCTGTTCTGTGGCTCCCTCTTTTGCCCCTGATTTTGCTCTCTCTGTCTATTTCCCTCAAAGGAAGGGAAAAAGCACCCGAGGCCTCTCCACAAGGAGGCTGGGTAGCCCAGGAGAAAGCCAGACAGTCACCGGGAGGGGCCTTAAAGTTGTTCCAGTCAGACATCTGTCCACTCCAGCTTCCAACCTCTTACAACATCCTCTGTTCCAGTGTGTCTACCAACAGGACACTCACCAACCACTGAGCCAACTCGCTCTGTTTTTTGAACAGCTCTAATGTTTGGAAGCCAATGTTTATAGACAGTTTTAAAAAGAGAAAAGTAACAAAATGTTGCTCCTCGTTGATCCTACTTTTTCCCTCTGGACAAATTTACTCCTTTACCTAGTGACTGACTTTCAAAGATTTAAAGATGTTTGTTAGACGTGATCATCAGGGCAAGAGGGGCGCCTTCCCTGGGGTCTGGGCAGCTGGGGGACTGGAGGTGACAGCCTCAGGAGGGCTGCTCGCAGCTAGAGGTCTGGCACCTGGGGCCTCTGGCTTGCCCTAGGGAGAATGCCTGTCCTGGCGCGAGTCTCATAAAATCAGGGAAGCTGCCCTTTGACCCTCCTCCATCCCTCTCCTCCAGGTGCCTGGCACACTCGAGCTCTTTCTTCTGTTTGCTGCCTCTCTAGACAGGATCTGATAAGTTGGTTCACATTGAGATAGAGATGGCTAATAAGGCTTAAAGTTTCTCCCCAGGGGTATTCCATTTTAAAGAGACAAAGATGGAAGCTCTGAATAATGGAATTTTGGGCTTCAAGGAGCTGATTGAGGGAGGAGCTCTGAGGACAGGGTCTTCTCTGCCCCTTTGAAACAAACCTGGCACTCTGTGCGCTCACAAGGCCAACCTGAGGCACCACTCACCCTGTCAAATCCCACTCCAGGCTGGAGGATGCGGAGGTGGGGCTGGGTTGTGGGCGGACGGGTGGGGACGTGCCCATTCTGTCCGCTTCCTTACATTGTCCTTTCTCTCAGTCCCTCTAGGTTCTACCCTGTGTCCCGCAGGGCGCCTGAGTATTATGGCCCCTACGCCTCTCAGTACCCTGACGATTACCAGTACTACCCGCCAGGGGTGCGGCCGGATAGCATCTGCTCCATGCCTGCCTATGACCGGATCAGCCCACCCTGGGCCCTGGAGGACAAGCGCCACGCCTTCCGCAATGGGGGCGGGTGGAAGGAGCCTGCCGGCTACGGGCGGCAGGATGGTACCGTCTGGATCCCCAGCCCCTCCCGGCAGCCAGTCTACTATGATGAGCTGGATGCCACGTCCAGCTCCCTGCGCCGCCTGTCCTTGCAGCCCCGGTCCCACTCCGTGCCCCGCTCGCCCAGCCAGGGCACCTACAGCCACGCGCGCATTTACTCCCCCGTCCGCTCCCCCAGTGCCCGTTTTGAGCGGCTGCCGCCTCGCAGTGAGGACATCTATGCTGACCCCGCTGCGTATGTGATGAGGCGATCCATCAGCTCTCCCAAGGTGAGCCACCAGCCTTCCCCTCCTTCCTCACCCCTGAGGTACCTCAAAAGCTTGAGAACATCTGCTGAGAAGAAGTCGAGATACAGGGGCATCTGGGACCTGGGGACCGTGGGCTGTGTGTCGGCAGCAACAGCGATGCTGCCCAGGGAGCCACGGGCCCTGTGCTTTTGGCCCCGGGAGAGCTGCCCCGGAGGACTTGCTTTGCCCCCTGGGTAGGAACATTGCTTTCTGTACCCGTCCCCAGACCGTACCAGGACCCCTAATTCTATATAACAGGGCGGAGAGGGTTCTCTGTGTTTTCAAATCTTGAGGACCTGGACAGATCATTGCAAGAATATTGCACTGGATAAATGCTGTCCATTTTAATTTGGAATTTGCTCTGGAACAGGATACAAACATCCCTAACCTTAAACTTCAGTTGGTGGGGAAGTCTGTGTCCCAACCGGACCCCCTTACCTCTCCAATCCCCTTTCTCTTCCAGTATGATTACCTGGGAGACAGGCGGCCAGTCCCTGCAGGACTGTTCCCCTACAACTACCCACCACCCCCCACGGTCCACGATAAGATGGTACGTCCTCTCCTTCCCCTCTGCTCCCCCCATGACCTCTCTTCCCAGGGCGGGCCAAACTAGGGTGGACGCAGGGATGCTCTCTGCTCAACGCCTGGTCCTTAGCAGCCTCTGGATACCTCCTCCCTGCTGGCCAGGACTCTAACTCAATACAGAGTTTGGTGGTGCCAGTTACAACCCTTCTCATTTGTGATACAGGGCAAATGAGCAAGGACAGATCTAGAAGCATGTAATATTCTGATCCTCTTGACCTTTGAACAAGCCTCCTCTCCATCATGCTGAGGGACTTAGACAGGGGCTCAGACTGTGGCTAGAAACAGTCAGGCTAGAGCTCCCCAAAACAGGCATGACTCTAGCCTTTTCCCGGCCGAGCGTATTCGCTTCCCATTTATCCTTGCCTGGAATGCCACTCTGGGGACTGGGGAAGAAAAGCTTTTCGATATTGTGTCTCCTCCTCTCTTCTCCCCCCCTACTGTGTCTCTTTCTGGAATTCGTTCTCCTGAGAATTTTTGTCTCTACCTGGAGAACGAGATGCAGATGCTCTGCTCGAGGGGTTGGGAGGACCATTGGAACCCACAGGCAGAATCTCCTTTCAGAAGGCCTATCGCTGTCCCCTCTCCCTGTGCAGCACCAGGAGGCCAGGGCAGAGGAGGCTTTGGGGGGGCAGGGAGGGCTGCTCCTCCCACCCCCTCTCATTCTTGTCCACCAGTGTCCAAACTTTATGGTCTTGACTCTCGGTAAACGCGCCCATCCAGAAGCAACAGATTTCCCCAGAACACTCAGAAACGGCTGCTAGCAGTGCTGACTAGATCGCTTCAGTGGTGCTCCCCTCACCCAGGGGGGACCAGGCAGACCTAGGAGCCACGGAGTCGGGGCCCAAGTGTGTCCCTCCTGTCACTGGTCCGGGAGTGCCCAGCAGATGGCGTCGGCGCCTGCCCACAGCCTCACTCCCCCCGCAGAACTCAAGGGCAGGGCGGCCTCCGCGGTCCTGGCCCAGCTAACTCTGAACTGCTTTGCTTTCTTTTTATCGTTTTCTTTTGTTGTGTTTCTGTTTTGTTCCTGTTTGTTTGTGTTGCTGTTGGGCCTCGGGCTCCGGGTAGGATGAACTTTTAGACCTGCAGTTGCAAAGAAACCTAGAGTATTTGGATCAGCAGGTAGGCAGAGCTGGTGCCCCCCGCTCCTCCTGCTCCTGTCACGTCTCCCCCTCCTTCCCGCCTCCTCATCTTCCATCCATTTGACAACCTTTGTTGGCACAACCAGGACACAACAAAGTGGCTTATATTTTGGTTCGTGCCTTCACATCCCTTCTCTTCAAAGCTCTTCAGGGCAGCTGAGAGTTTCTTGGGGAAAGGAGAATAATAAATGACCACATGAATAATTAATGCCACCTCCTATTCGGTCAGCCCAGTTGGAGCTGCCCCCAGGAGACAGGCGGGAATTTGCATCTTTGCCAGAGAGAGTAGCGGAGATGAGAGGGAGCTCGTGCTACAGCCCAAATGCTAGGATTCGGTTCAGCCTGAATCTGAGAAACTATCCTACCACATTCCACAGGTTGTTTTTAAACTCCATAATTTGTAAACTGAGGACTATAGACCTGTCCTAGGATGACTTAAAAATTATATCGATTTAGTGTATTTGTCAGTTCCTCCATGAAGTTCTTCTGTACACACAGCTCATGTTTTCCTGAAAATTCAGTATGATGAATTTTCAGGAAAGGAAAATTTGAGGGAGTTTTCATCCTAGTTTTACAGATGAGCATCCTGAGGCAATGAGGTCCCCGGAGTGGGAGTGATGGCCGCCTGGGCTCCTGGCTCCAGTGCTCTAACCATTGGCTGCTTTGCCTCGTAAGGCTAAGGGGGCTGCTACACTCTCTGGAGTAAACAGGCCGGAGGTCAACATGCTGGACATTTATCTAAGCAAATAGTTTTATGTTCAGATCTGTGCTACAAATAGTGGGAGACTTCACCATGCACACACTGTCCTGTAGAGGCAGCCTGGGGGGGTGGGGGAAATAATAATGACAGTAATAATAATAATGGCAGCAGCTACGATGATTGGGTGCTTCTTCCATGCTCTGGATTATTCTAAGCACTTTACAGATTCGAACTCATTTAATCTTTATAACAACCTGCAAAATGGGTACTGTTATTATCCTCGTTTTATAACTGGTGAAACTAAAGCACAGAGAGGTAAAAAATATATATATATATACACACACACACACATATGCCAAGGGTGTATAGCCAGCACATAGCAGAGCTCAGAATATGATTCTGAGCTTTCGACCCAGTTTGCAGCTGAGGAAATATCTAACATATGAAGAAGCTGGGGTCAAACCTCATCAGGATGGTTTTGTGCTCTCAAAAGTTGTAGAAAGAACCATAAACCTGACATAGCTGGGACTTTTGGTGGTTCTGGTCACAGCTATGCCAAGGGTGTATGGCTAGCACATAGCAGAGCTCAGAATATGATTCTGAGCTTTCGACCCAGTTTGCAGCTGAGGAAATATCTAACATATGAAGAAGCTGGGGTCAAACCTCATCAGGATGGTTTTGTGCTCTCAAAAGTTGTAGAAAGAACCATAAACCTGACATAGCTGGGACTTTTGGTGGTTCTGGTCACAGCTACATGACCAGCATCTCACCAGGCCTCGATGTCTTGGTCAGCTCATCTTTGTAGAAGACCTTCGGCCCTGGGAAGCACTGATTTCTGTATTTAAGTCAGAAGCAGCTTGCGGTATCCAGTCCATGTGGTGCCCAGTCCAGGGTGCCAACCCAGAGCAGGCCTGGGAGCGCCGATCGCCCTGCTGGAGCAGAGGCTGCGGTGAGGGGAGTGGTGAGGAGCGGGGCTCAGCGCCCCCGGCAGCCCTTCTTCCCTTTCCCGGCCCCCCTGCCTGGCCGTCCAGCTGTTCAGTGCGGATAGCAGTGCCTTTTTCTGGGGCTTCTACATCCCAGAGCTGCTGGGCCCTTAGCCTGGGAACTTCAGAAATAACCTTTCAGAGGACCTCCTCCTAGACAAACATAGATATCCTAGGTGTTCTTAAAAGGCGATTAAAGTCCAGAACTCAGAGTCAGACACTGCAGTCTAGTTCCAGCTCTGCCATTTACAAGGATTTTTTTTAAAACCTTGAACACGTCAGTCTCTCTGGCTTTGGTTTTCTTAACCATAAAATGAATATTGTAGAATCTGCTCTTTCTACCTCACAGAGTTACTGGAAGAATCACCTAAGAATGTGTCTGAGAGCACTTTGTCAGACATTAGCGATGAGAGGTAGTTGCTGCTATGATTATTTTATTGATCTTTTTCATCTAAAACTCAAAATGTTATCTGAGCACCTTTACTATGTATATGACACCGGGCTAGGTGCTTTCTCACAAATTCTAACATTTTAGAGAGAGAAGATGGCATGTAAGAATCCTTCTAAAGGCAAGACCCGCATGGGCTGAAAGATCCCCAAAACCACAGCATGAGTGGGTGCAGACCAGGGTAAGCATATTCCTGCTTCCCTTCTGATTGCTTTAGATCCCTTGTTGGGAAAGGAATGAGATCAGTGGGTGTCCAGGAAGAGCCTGGGCCTCCCTTGCCTTCTCAAAGCCTGATGTGTTGGTAGATCTGCCTTGTCTTCCACACACACACACACACACACACGCACACACACACACACGCACACGCACACACACACACACACACACCCCACATCACATACAGGATACAAGCATGACACACAGGCAGCAGATGTACATATACACAAACATGCATACCCCATACACAGGAAACAAACACACACACACACTCCAGGAAGATAGGGATCAATTTGAGTTCAGATCCTTACAAAAAATGTAGTTGATGTCCTATTGATTTTTAACTGTTTCACAAAGCTTAAACCTCATATTACAACGCTCTTTAGGAAGCCTTTTAAATGACATTTATGTCATAGGAAAAAATTCCAATTGGACTAAAGAGGTAGAAAAATCAGATCCTAGGAAAACGTTTTAAAATGCTGTAGACCCCGCAAATGGGGGCAGATGGGTGCCCTCACCCTGTCCATAGCACACAGGTGTAAGGCTGCATTTGGGCTGCCTTCTCAACAGGGTATGGGGAAAATACACATAGGAAGATTGGGAAGACAAGGGCAAAAAAAGGTGGGGGATCCCTGAACTATGACCCCAAATATCTTCCCCATGGTGGCCTTATTCTTTACCTTATTCACTTCTCCTCCCCAAAAAGCTTTTCCTGCAAACTTTCTCCTGTCTTCTGCTGCCTACGCCTGCAGATGAATTGAGTTAAAGGGACATAGCCAAGGACACGCCCTAATATATTCACTTTTTGATGCTGTCACACTGGAACCCAGTGGGTGAAATGATGGCATTTCTGGTTGATTTAATTGGCTTGTCCTCCCTCCCTTCCTCCCCCTCTACCTCCCTTCTGCCTTCCTTCCCTCCCTCACCTTTCTCTCTTTCTTTCTTTTTCATTTGGCAAATAGCCTTTCCCTTCCATGTTTCTAATGATTCTTGAAACATAAGACAGTGTGTTGGGAGAGCAGTGTTTCAGTATCTGATGTCCCTTTAACATGGCTTGCTTGTTTTGGCCTCCTTATTTGCTCCCTAGCATCATCCAAGATCGGCATGGATGCTACCAGCCCAGCTCTGGAAACCGTGTTTAGCAATCCTTTCTACTCTAGAGCCAAGAGGTGGGCAGGGGCTGGGGAGAGAGACCTGTGCCTATGTGTTTGAGAAGGCACAGTTCTCTCTCCCCAGGGCAGGTCCCAAGTGTTCTTTCTCAGCTGTTTCATTTAGTTCAAATTTTGGAAGATTGGCCTTTGCAATTGCCTATGTGGTCTTTGACCAAAGCAGTGTGAGAAATGAGAGCTGGGGCAAGGAAATGATGACCTTGGCCAACGTAGATGAGATCCACAACACTCAGGCACCCTGGGGGAGTGTCACTGGGTTGGGCCCTCTTCAGAGCTGGGAGCAAGGGCACAGTGGCCTCCCAGCTCCCTTCCGTGGCCTTTCAGTGCTGGTCCTGAGATGGAGTTCACAAAGGATGAGCAATGGGTAAGGCCAGATAAAGAGTGCTGGAATCCTCAAGGGGAGCTGCCCTTTCCTGTTTCCTGGAAAGCCAACGCAGGCGGGTGTGGGGGAGATGTCTCTTTGTGGGTCTGAGTTTGAATCGTTCATTCCTTCCTCTGCTGCAGATGAGTGAGAGTGAGACTCTCATCAGTATGGTGAATCGCATGGTGGAGAGCTCCTCTCCCAGGGCCCACCTCTTCATGCAAGTAAGACCTCTGCCTGGCAGCATGGTCCCTGTCAACATCATTCAGCTGCTTGTGCATGGTCGAGTCAACCTGTTTGGGATGGGGCTTGTTCTGCCCAACTCACTCATCTGCCAGGCTCAGCCTGCTCTCCCTCCTTTAATTCCACTGTGTTTCCTTCATTTTCCATGTTTATGGATGAACCCAAGGCCCATTTCCCAAACCATCAAAATAGCTAGCACCGACATCTCATGCCTGCCAAGGATCACAAATCTGCTTTTTAATGTCTAGGACTTCTATTTTATATTTGGTATCTTCTTCACAAACATTATTGGGGTTAAGGGCATGGGGGTATGATAAGAAACTATCCAATGTCAAAAGTATGTAGGGCATGCTGTGGTTACCAGATGCGTCATCCAGGGCACGGAGCATGTGCTGGACCCAGAGACACTTCTGAATTCATACCAGTCCTGGTTTAGGCACAAGCTCTGTGACTGGTATTAATTCACTAGGGCAACAGTTCTTAAATATTTCCGATGCTCATTCCATTCTCCTGTGTCTTATCTTCAAAATCAGCCAAGATTGAACTGTTGTTCTCGTGGTTGTTACCAACAAGCCACCCGGGAGCTACACATTCCTGGAGTCCTTCTCGGCAGTAGATCCTAGAGCTTAGGGAAGAAGAGGTACATGGCATGATCTGCGCAGCATCTCTATCTCCAGAATCAGCCTAGGACAGTTAGGATGGAGCCTAGATTGGGCCATCCCAGTCTTCCCACCCAGGGGACAGAGAATTAGCTCAGCTCAGGGCCCTGGAACAGAAGCTACCAGGAGTGATGCACCGTGGTCTCTGGCAAAAATAGAGCAAGAGTTGTCAGCTTTCCTGCCCCCACATGGCCTTCTGTCGTCGGCTGCAGTAACCGGCCTCATGTTCCTGCAGGTCCCTCCATACCCAGAAGTGTTCCGGGACAGCCTGCACACCTACAAGTTAAACGAGCAAGCTACAGATGTAAGAGCAGCTCTCCCGCTCCCTCTGTCCACTCCGGCCCCTCCCGCCGTTGTCTTCATCTCCAAGTTCCTCCCCGAGGCTTCTCTTCCATCCCTCTCTCTCCTTCTTATGGCTCTTCATACGCTGGATTCATGTCCTCACTCGCTGCAAAGACAGCATCCCTCCTGTGCCTCCTCATTCCCCTTTTCTCATTCTTCCCACTTACTCACCCCTGCCTCCCACGCTGGCTGTGTTTCCCCACTGAGGTCTAGTCCCCTCTTGTCTGCAGCACTGGGATCTGCTTGTCACAGGAACACAGGCTTTGTTAAAAGGTCGGTCGGTCAGTCCACTTTGTGCCCAGCACGGCGTAGTCCCTAGCTAACTGGAAAGAACATGACCGTATTCCTGCCCTTACGGAGCTTCAGGATAGTGGCAGATGGCCGGGGGCAGTAGGTGGCAGCATATGATTCATATACTGAATGGCCCCAGTAACAGGTTCTGTAGGAGTGAGGAGCAGTGAGACCATGTGGGCTGGTGGGTCAGGGACGAAACAGGTAGCATGTGAGCTGGCCTTGAACTAAAAGGCCCAGAGGGTAAGATCTGGCTCAGTGGGAAGGAGCCACGGGGTATTTGAGGAATGGCACGAATAAAGGTGTACACACAGGAAAGCATAAATCTTTCCAGAAAAGTTTGGCCTGAGCTGCCTCCTCCCCTTCACCACTGGCCTGGGAGACGTTCCATACAAGCAAGGACCAGACCTCTGAGGGACTCTGGTGTTAGCCATCCTGAGACCCTGGAGGGAGGAGGGGAGAACAGGTCCTGTGAGACTGGAGAACCCAGTTTACATTGCTCACTGATTTTCTGAGACTTTTGTTCTGACACCCTGCCTACCCCCCGAGTCCATACCCACCTGGGAGGCCAGGCCATATTCTGTCTTCAACCCTCACGACTTGGAAGCTGTAGGAGGACAGGACTTACTGTTTGGCTCTCAGCCCGTGCTTCCCTCAAGCTGACTCACTTCCTCAGAGAATAAACATACCTCCCCTCCGAGTGGGTACAGGAAGGTAAAGACCATCTTCCTGTTTCCAGGAGTCTCCAAGGTCAAGGTGAAGAGCCAGGGTTCCTCAGCAGGGGAATGGAGGCGGTATCCAGAGGCTAGGCCCTGCCCGCCCAAGTCTCAGGTTCCCATCAAACTGTGTCCTTCACCCCCTTCTCTCTCCCTCCATGCCCCCTCCCCTACTCCCTTGGGACCCCAGAAGCTGCTGGGCAAATTGTGTGAGCAGAACAAGGTGGTGAGGGAGCAGGACCGGCTGGTGCAGCAGCTCCGAGCTGAGAAGGTGAGAGCCAAAGGGTGGCCTTGGGCGGGGGCACGTCGGGGGCTGGTGTGGACAAGGCGTGGGCTGCTATCTCCACCCTGACCAAACTGACAGTGCTCTGCCTTCCCTGAACTTCTGCCTGCCCTTAATCAGACCTGCCGAAGCTCTCCTGGAGAAGCTTAGGCAGAGTGAGGACAAGCTACCTGGTTGAACGTCTGGGGCTCGGGCCTGTGCCGCTAATAGTCCCAGAGGGGAGATCTCGGGGCTGCTCATAGCTGCCCCGCTGCCTTTCTTCAGGAGAGCCTGGAAAGTGCCTTGATGGGGACCCACCAGGAACTGGAGATGTTTGGAAGCCAGCCCGCCTACCCCGAGAAGCTGCTGCACAAGAAGGAGTCGCTGCAGAACCAGCTCATCAACATCCGAGTGGAGCTGTCTCAGGCGACCACGGTAACCTGCCTGCACACGGGTCTGCATCCGGGGGAGAGCCGCCCCACCAGGTGGTGCTCTCCTATTCCCCATCCTCCTTGGAGGGCCAGAGCAGGATGCTCCTCTGGAAGGGGCATAAACGAAGACTTTAACACTTGGGAATAGGCAGCCAGTATGCTAGCCTGCTCGGGCCATAGTGTCCACCAAGAACACTGGGGAATTTCCCACCAACTATACACGCACCAGGGTTTGTTCAGGACAGCGTGAAGTCGGGTCACTTATTTCCTTAGCTGTTCTAATACCTTTGCTGCCCACCTCTGTCCTCTGCCCTGGAGACCCAGGATGTTGGCAGCAATGCCGCTGTCCTGGTCATTTCCTGGTGGGCACAGGGCAGACATTACAGTACCGAGCGCCTTAGTAATAGCTCGAGGGACCGCAGCAAAAACCCCAGGAAAATGTGGCCCCAAAGGAGGTCAGGCTCTAAGCTCTAGAGAGCAAACACCTTCCCCCGGCTCCTTTCCTTCTGTCCTCCACTTTCAGTCGCCCCGAGCAGGAGGCTGAGGGAGGAATGTCACCTGCTCTGGCTTATCCACATGTCTGGAGAAAATGCTGTTTTCTCTTTAATTTGGTTTGCAGAAGGATGGGCTGTGGCATCTCTTATAAGACTAGTGTTTGGCTGTCCCCAGAATGTCGCAGCCCTGGGCACTCTCCTCCTGGCCTGCTGGTCCTCTTCCCAGACCTGCCAGACCTTAGGCTCCATGGCCCCAGGCCGTGTGGCAGGGTGAGGAGGAATCTAGGCGATGAGATGGCAGCTCTCTCAGTAAACCCTCCTCCGCAGGCCCTGACGAGCAGCACCGTGGAGTATGAGAACCTGGAGTCGGAGGTCTCTGCTCTGCACGATGACCTCTGGGAGCAGCTCAATCTGGACATTCAGGTGAAGAGGGCCCTGGGCAGGCTGAGGTTGGCATGTGCTTTGAGTCTTCCCTTTTCCTTTTTGTTCAAAAGCGACCAAAGTGGCTTCATTTCTTGCTTTAGAAATTTCAGAGACTTAAGGCGAGGAGTTGGTTCTAAGACAAAAGACAAGGTTCAGGGCTACTTAAAGCAGACTCTAAATTTCAGGCTGAAGATAATATGGGATTCTTCACTTCCATCAAATCATAGGGGATGGAGTCAAGCAGAAGCCTGGGAACTTAGGTTAGGCGTCAGGTGTTTTATGACTGAAAGGATTTAACAAACCCATAAATATAAACATAAGAGAAATATGAGTCTCTCTCATGATGTCAGAAGAGTAGGCAGTTCGGCAGCGATCCACTTGGAAATTTTAGGATAGGAAGAGGCTTTCCTTTCTAGGGCTGGTGAGAAACACTGCACCTGGAGGCAGGTGTCTGGATACGTTGACCTTGGGGCAGCTTGTTCTTTTCTTCCCTCTGTCTTTTCTCTACCCAGGCTCTGCCTCTTCTCTACCTGGCTTCGCAATCCCTATCTCTTTGATGCAGTTAAAACCCTGGTTTCCCATATTTTCTTATTTCCCTCTGGATAACAAAACTTACCACCCCAGCCTTGCAGCTGGTTAGGTAGGGTGAGGTGAAGGCCCTCCTGGCCCAGAGCACCCAAATGCCACCAAGTCCTGTGGGCAAGCCTCGCTTTCAACATGCATGTTTTTTTAGGAGGTACAGTAGTGTCGTGGTCAAGAGCACCAGCTCTGGGAACAAACAGACCCAGATTCAGATGGTGGTTACACGACTTACTAACAGATGGTCAGGCACGAGTCCCTCCGTCTCTGAAGTGGGGACAGCTGCTGCCCTTGCCTCATAGAGTTGTACAGCCAAAATGGGTTAGTATATGCAAAGCACTTAGTGCAGTGCTGGGTACAGGGGAAGGGTGCTAAATAAGTGGTAGCTATTGTTTTTCAAAGAGTGGACGCTGTAACTGAATATAGTTCATGAGTATTTAGGCATACGTTGGGTGTGGGTGTTACAAAAGGGCCGTTTGGATATGAAGAAAAACAGGAAACTAGACGCTGGAAAATAGGCTACCATAAAATGTCCACCATAGAGGCCTTTGCTCCAAGACCACCCTGGTCTCCCCTGGGGGTCTCCGAGGGGCAGGCCCTCACTCTCTCTCCCTAAAGGGACTCTTTACTGTGATGACAGAGCCCTCTTCTCTGGCAATTCAGACCTCTGTATTATAGATGCTGAAGAGACAGAGGCTGCCTGTGAAAAAGATGAATGTGCTAGAGTAGTGTGTGTGTGCATGTGTGTGCGTGCGTGCGTGCATGGGTTGGAGGGATATGTGTGTGTGTGCACTAGAGGGATGTGCATGTGTGTGTGTGCGTGCGCGCATGCATGGGTTGGAGGGATATGTGTGTGTGTGCACTAGAGGGATGTGTGTGTATGTATATGTGTGTGCTAGAGGGGATTCTGTGTGTGTGTGTGTGTGTGTGTGTGTGCGCGTGCGCGCTGGAGAGGATGTGTGTGTGCTGAAGGGATGTGTGTGTACTGGAGGGATGTGTGTATGTGTGTGTGTTCTGGAGGGGTTGTGTGTGTATATGTATGTGTGCTGGACAGATGCGTATGTGTGCTAGAGGGATATTTGTATGTGCGCATGCACATGTGTACACAAGGCTCCTGCCTACTGCTGATCCAAGGGATGCAGAAGGCTGCGATGCTCCTCAACAGCCACTTCTTTTGACCTGCTCTGTGGATATTTCAGAATGAGGTGCTCAACAGGCAAATCCAGAAGGAGATCTGGAGGATCCAGGACGTGATGGAGGGGCTCAGGAAGAATAACCCGTCTCGGGGCACAGATACAGCCAAGCACAGAGGTAGGCGCCTCCCGCCGGCCTTGGGGCTTCTGGCCTCACCAGAAATGCTCCAGTGTCTCTGGCCCCTGTCCCACACCTGCCAGCTCACACTTCTCCAGGCCCTTACAGTGTGCTCAGAGCCAGTCAGGGCCTTCTCAGGGCTCCAGAAGCTTTCCCGGTCCCTGGGATGGTAGGTAGGGCTCCCTTATCCCTACCCTCAACCCAAGAGTAGACCAGATATACCACTCAGAGATGATATTGACCCTGATACCCTAGACTCCTCCCCAGAAAAGGTCAAAGAGCACCTGGGCCTCCCTGGCCCCTAAGCCCATGGGCCCCTTGGTAGTCTAAGACCACTACCTTAGTGTCTTCCTTCAGCCGTGGAACCTTGGGCTAGCTTCCTCTGACATCTCGGGGGCAACAGTGTCATTTCCTTCCATCATCTTCCCCTGTCCAGCATACCTCTTCAGCCTGTGACGCAGCCCCTATAAGAAGTACCTTTGATGGGCCCACGTGGCCCTGAGGCACTAAATCTTCCCTTCCACATGTCCGGGTCCTCCCCTGCGTCCTCCCCCTCGGAGCCCATCCGCACTCATGGTCACATACCACCTCAGCCTTCATCTCTCTCCTCTTGTTTTCCCTAAGGAGGACTTGGCCCCTCGGCCACCTACAGCTCCAACAGCCCTGCCAGCCCTCTCAGCTCCGCCAGCCTCACCAGTCCCCTGAGCCCCTTTTCGCTGGTGTCTGGCTCTCAGGGGTCCCCTACCAAGCCTGGGTCCAATGAGGTAAGCTGAGAAAATGGAGTAGAAGGTAGGTGGGGAAGGGAGGACCAGGTCTTCATCTGCCTGAAACTACACAAATTCTGTGCCATCTCTTCCCCAGTGGCCTCCAGTCCTAGTGCTTTAGTGCCCTGTCTAAGGTAGTCATTCTCACATCCAATCTGGTGACCTTCCCCCCAGATTTACCTGCTCTCATCTCCCTCTGCCTTCGCCAGCGTCCTTTAGGGAAGTCTCTTCTGGAACATCAGGATGGTTAGCAAAGATACCAAACACTTCACAGGAATTTAAATCCAGGATTGTTCCAGGGGGTAAGAAGATTGAGGGCTTGTGTGGGGAGCAGTTTCATAGTCAGTCAATCAGCAAGTGTTTACTAAGACTCTACTGTGGGCAAGGGATGGTGGTGTCCTCTCAGAAAGACACCGCGCCTGCCCAAGACTTTCGTTCAGGGAGCCCAGTGTCCAATGGGGACCAAGACCGATTCACGGTAGCCGCAGGAATGTGGCGCTGTGTGTCTCAATACCGAACCACGTGGTTCAGACCGTAATGCTCTGATGTTCCAGAGAGAGGGTGGGACTTGAACTGGGCCATGAAGCACTGAGACAGGTACAGGAACAAGGCATCGCAGGCAGGAGAGGTGTTGGAAGCACAGGTTCAGGGGTGGGAATGTGTCCAGTATGATGGGGAGGCAATGAGGAGAGAGCTTTGGAGGAGAACTGGGGAGCGATGCGGAGTGGTGCGCAGGTGGGGGCTCGGTGGAGGAGAGCCTGGAAGGCCAGGCAGAGAGCTAGGTTCGCAGGTAGAGCTCTGTCCTGACCATGGGTGGGTGTTCGGTGATCCAGGGCCCACCGGATCTCAGCATTGCCATCTGCCTCCTGCTAACGCTCTTTTCTCCTGCTCTCACAGTGACCGATCTCGCTCCTAATGCTCTGGCTTCTCTCTGCCTCAGGAGCCCGGCCCGCCACGGCCTCCCCTCCCCAAAGCCTACGTGCCCCTGGAGTCTCCTCCCACTGTGCCTCCACTCCCTAGCGAGAGCCGCTTCTGGCCATACCCCAACTCCCCTTCCTGGCACCGCAGTGGCGAGACAGCCAGGGGTCAGGTACCCAGCACCCTTGGGTCCTGGAGGGCAGGGGTGGAGGGAGTGGGACAAAAGTCCAGGTGAGAGGGCAAGGCAGGACACTGAGTCATTTCCCCATTCCAATATTAATTTTCCCTCACCTCAATTTCTGCTGGGCCCTCTGCCCAGTCAGACTCTGGGCTAAAGAAAGGCTTGAGATACACAGGCCCTTTCCACTTTTGCTCTCCTTGGACAATGGGGAAATGAGTTGCTGCCCTACCCTGTGCCAGGTTCCTGGGCAGCCCCCCACCATAGGTGACGGCATGACCCACTCCCTACCAGCATGACCAGACATGGGAACTGAGGGATCCCCCGACACAGACACACACTGGTACTATTCCAATCCTTGCTCTTGTCCACCCCAGACCTCAATCCTCCCATGCTCTCTCTCTGTCTCTTCCTTGCCTGTGTTCTCTCTAAGCCTACTAGCCCCTGGACTATACGGATACAGGCCCCTTTCTCCCCTGTTCTGGCCCCTTCTCTCACCTAGATCCCAGCCAAGATCCAGGGGAGATGTGCAGTTAGGTTTGGAAGAGGCTGCATCATGAGTAGACATAGTCTCGTGCCTGAAATTGGGAAACCCACATTCTCACCTCGGTTCAGCTACTGGTATATGCATAACCCTGAGGGTCTGCCGAGAGAGGTGGACAGAACAAGTAACAGCACCTCTGTTTTACAGGCAAAGGAAGTTGGTAGGACCTCCCCATGCTCTCTAGCTGGGCTAGAGTGGAGGTTTCTGACCTCTGGCTTAGGCTTCTTTCTCTGTGCCTCTCACCGGGACTTAGATTCTTCAACTGTATAATTGAGGAGATGGTGCAGATGATGGCTGAGGTCCCTTCTAGTCTCATGATTCTGTGAGCCACAAGCTAAGTGCCCCTTTCCCGTCCCCAGAATCCTGGTACCAAAGCTCCCCTGGTTCTTTTGCTCCGGTCTTGGGCAGGATCCTGGCAGAATCCTCAGAGATCCTTGGCCTTGTAGCCCCCTCCCCTCTGGCTCATAGCAAATTTGTGCTTCTTGGAGGGGCTGGCTGGAGGTTTGAGCCCTCATTCTCCAAGATGGCCTTACATTTGCCAGCCTTATGCCTCCCTGCCCACCTTCCAGCTGACACACATAGACTGTCCCTGTCCCATGTTTTCAAGGGTTTGTGCTCCAACTATTGCTAACCCAAGAAACATCACCAGGGACCCAATTCCTGGCAGTCACTCCAGTGTCAAACATCTTGTCCTTTCTTCCCAGCCCAAGGCAAGCTATGAGCAAAGCAAGAAAGAGCCCCACCAGACATCACTCCCGGACACCTCTAGAGACATCAGCCTTGTACCCACCAGGAAAGAGGTGGAGGCAGAGAAGCAGGCAGCTCTCAACAAAGGTACCGCTGTCCCATCCTTCCTAGAGGTAAAGCTGAGGGTCAGAGAGGAGCCCGGGGTGCGCGCTCACACCCAAGGAGAGTACTTATCCCCCAGAGCCTTTCATCTCTGCAGTGTGTGAGCCTGAGCCCCTCTGAGAAGCAGGCTCCCCTGTCTCTCTGCCTTCCTCTCTCCCACTGGCTGCCCTTTCTTCCTGCAGTTGGCATTGTGCCCCCACGGACAAAGTCACCCACCGATGAAGAAGTGACTCCATCAAGGGTAGTGAGGAGGCATGCCAACGGGCTCCCCAATGGACTCTCCTCCCGGGTGAGTATTCTCCTGCAGGCTTCGAGAGCTCAGGCAGGCTGAGCCAGGCCGGAAGCTGAGGGGCCTCTGTGTGTCCACCTATCTGTCACTACTGTTCAAGAAACCCAGGGCTGGAGGAGGAGGCAGAATGAGCAGGAGGAGGGCAACAGCCCCACGGAGGAGGCGTTCTTCTTTAGGTAGGCATGTCGAGGGACGAGGAAGATGTGCATAACAAAAATGAAAGAATATTTAACCAGTGGTCAGAGCCCAGTGTGCTGGCCCAAGGCAGTGTATTAATGACCTGGGGCTGCTAGGAAATTAACAAAATGCCACTAATTTGGTGGCTTAACACAGCAGAAGTTTATTCTCTCACAGTCCTGGAGGCCAGAAGTCTGAAATCGAGGTGCCAACAGAGTTGCTTCCTTCGGGAGGCTGGGGGTGAACCCGCTCACGGCCCTCTCCCGGCTTCTGGTTACTGCTGACAGACAGTCCTCGGTATCTCTGGCTTGTATACACACCACTCCACTCTCTGCCTCCACCTGCACATCACCCTACCCTGTGTGCCTTCTCGTCTCCCGTAAGAACACCCATTACTGGTTTCAGGGCCCACTCTAATCAGGATGATCTCATCTTGAGATCCATAACAATTATATCTGCAAAGACGCTATTTCCAAATAAGATCACATTCACAGGTGCTGGGAGTCAGGACTTGGACATGTATTTGGGGGCCACTATTAGACCCACTATAGGGAGGCTTCCCAGAGAAGGGAAATTGAAAGGATTAAAGAGGATGGAAAAGCTGGTTGGAAGCTACGGCTGCTGTCACAGCCCCGTCTCCCACTGCAGCAGGAGCGCCCCAAGAGTGCGATATTTCCGGGCGAGGGCAAGGTCAAGATGAGCGTGGAGGAGCAGATTGACCGCATGCGGCGGCACCAGAGTGGCTCCATGAAGGAGAAGCGGAGGAGCCTGCAGCTCCCAGCCAGCCCAGCCCCCGACCCCAGCCCCCGGCCCGCCTACAAAGTGGTAAGTGGTAACGTCCTCCCAGCCCCCCACAGGCGTGGCCTGGCATCTGCTGGCACTGCCCACTCCCAGAGTGGCCAGGCTGGGCCAGAGACATAGGGGGCAGGCTGGGGTTTAGAGAGGAAGGGGGCTGGGGAGGACCCAAGCTGGGCATCTGGGAGAATTGAGCTGGCTTCTCCCTACTTGACAGAAAAGAGCCTGCAACAAGTTTTTCCTTTTTTGTGTTAAAATGAAAAATAATTGACAAAAAGGGTTGCCTTAATTGTTTTAGTTGGCATGAATTGTACAAAATCCAGTTAATAGAGGATAGTACAAAATCCACCATGCAGAAGTAGCTTATACACATTTCTAGAACACTTTCTATGTGCTGGGTATACTGAAGATAATCAATAGTTCAGCATTACATGGGACAATACAATTCACAGCTCCCTTTCACATTATCCCATTTCGTCCTTTCAACAATGTGAGGTTAGGAATTATTATCTCTATTTTAGAGATAGGGAAACAAAGTCACAAGAAATTAAGGGAGTCCTGGGCCACACAGCCATTAAGCGCAGAGCTGAGAAGCATCTGCCGAATTTTTCTTTCCAGTGAATTTCAGAAATATGGAAAAATTGTGACTCACAAGTCCTGCCCTCAGAGAGTTTACATTCTAGTTGGTAGACTGGAAATTCTATAATATGAAATGATTAGAGACCAGCGTAAGAACACTAATTCAACTGCCCAAAATATGTGGCACAGGAGTTGAACACAGAGCACAGCAGGATGGGGAAGGACAGGTGCTGACAAGAGTTATTGCTCAGATTTACCTTCAGGCCGTTGCAGGTGGGCAGGCTCTGGATAAGCAGCATGGAAGCAGTGAGATGGTGGCCAGATTGGGCGTGTTGGGAAGGGACAGTGAGGACATAGCATGGTCAGGACTGCCTGGTGGCACCAGTAGCAGTGGACATGCCATCCGCTAGGTGCGTCGTCACCGCAGCATCCATGAAGTGGACATCTCCAACCTAGAGGCGGCCCTTCGGGCAGAGGAGCCTGGCGGGCAGGCATATGAGACGCCACGGGAGGAAATTGCCCGGCTTCGAAAGATGGAGCTGGAGCCCCAGCACTACGACGTGGACATCAATAAGGAGGTGAGCAGAGTCCAGGGGTGGGGGTGGGGGAGAAGCTCTGGGAGGGATGGAGGCAGTGACCTGGGTCCCTCCACAGCTCTCTACCCCAGACAAAGTCCTCATCCCCGAACGGTACATTGACCTGGAGCCTGACACTCCCCTGAGCCCCGAGGAGTTGAAGGAGAAGCAGAAGAAGGTGGAGAGGATCAAGACGCTCATTGCCAAGTCCAGGTAACAGTTAGGCCAAGTGAACCTCCACTTCTTCTGCCCACCTGGCACCTAGGACACCTGGGGCACTAGTGCTACTGACTCCAGCATCTCAACACATGTCGTTGGGGACCCTGAGCCTCTCCAGCGAGGAGCAAATAGAGGCAGTGGCTCAGGGCAGCGGACTGGGCCCAGCCCTGCAGCCAGGACAATGAAGCTGCCGTTGGCCGTGCAAAAGATCTGCCAAGCTCATGCACGTGCTCTCATCACCAGGTTGCCCCCTGGTGACTTCTTTTCCCCTTCAAGGCTGCCCTAAATGTTTACTTGAACCTTCTAATTCATTTTAAAATGTGTGGGTAGGGGTCCCAACATGTGTTTTGCCAGGTCCCTCTCACCTTTGGGGACAGCCTTGCTGGAGACCAGAGCCTGCACATACACAGCCCCTTGGCCCCCCTGCCAACCTCAGTCCATCCCCCCCAAGCCAGTTGGACCATCCTGTCCCCCCACCATGTCTGTCTGTGCCTCTTCAGTATGCAGAACGTGGTGCCTGTCGGCGAGGGGGACCTTGTGGACGTGCCCCAGGACTCAGAGAGCCAGCTGCAGGAGCAGGAGAAGCGGATTGAAATCTCCTGTGCCCTGGCGACCGAGGCCTCCCGCAGGGGCCGCATGCTGTCTGGTGAGAGGGGCTGGGCCTCGCTCTGCCAGGGAGACCAGCTGACCATGTGTAGGGGAGGAGGCACGGCGCTGCGAGGGGCCAGGGATAGAGAGGAACAAGGCCAGGGAGATGTCCCTCGAGGTCAGGATGAGCATTTGCTGAGCACCAGGTATTGTGCTAGACTCGGTGGGTGCACAGGCCCAGAGCTGCTGACATGTAGGGAGTCAGAGCCATCATGACCCTATTCTCCGCTACATGGAGGAATGGCCGAGGCCATGCAGAGAGCACAGGGAGCCATTCTACCCGGGCAGGTTGGGAAAAGTACAGAGAAAAGGTGATAAGTGACTTGGTTGGAAATGATAAAAGGATTTACCAGTTGTGGAGTGGGGGCCAGGTATTCCAGGGCGCGCTTTCGCTTCCCCTTCTTGCTGCACGCGGATAGGCAGCGCAAGAGAAGATGGTGCAGGTAATGAAGGAGCTGAGAGCGATACAATGATCACTTTGGCTACTGACCCCAACCCACTTTTTGCTAAGAAAAGATGAGTCTGAGGAACTGAGAACACACTGGTACACTGTGAGGTTAAAGTCAACGGGGGCTTAGGACATCGCCCGGAATCGATGAGAGTATAATTGGCAAGAATGAAATGAATGAGGATGGGAAGAATGAAAGAGATTCTGTATGAACAGGAGCATGAAAGGCAGAGGAAAGACGGTGGTTAAGCCTGGGAGACGGAATATTTCCTCCCCCTCGAGACAAGATGGTTAGGACAGAGAGGGAGAAAGAGAGCGAAGGCTTTGGAGGGCAGTCAAGACGGATGTCCCAGCAGGTTCTGGGATGCCAGGTTTGTGATGACTTCAGTCGAGAGGCAGAAGCAGGTGTGCCAGCCATGGTTATAACAGCCTGGGCAAGAGTCAGGCAACAAGCAAATAAAGATTGTGGCTCATAGCTCAGCGGAAGGGATGGTGTTTCCTGGTGGTGATTAAGAGGGTTCGAGTTATGACTCTCTGAGACTCCAGTTTCTCATCTGAAAAATTTGGAAAATTCAAATCAAAATACCTGTCTGATGGTGTGAGAAACAAACCATGTGTGCTAAGCACCTAGCACAGCGCCAGGCACGCAGTAGGTGCTTGATGAATGCCCGCCAGCTGTAGTAGGTGGTGTTGGTGATGGTGGTAGTAGTAGTTGAAACAGCAATAGCCGAAGTAGAAATAAGAACCATTTGTGTTTTTTCCAGCTATTTTAAATATGAATATTTTCAGAAACCAGGGGGGTTTAGGCTACAATGAAATGGATTTAAGCAAGCCTTGAGGAAGAGCCTACTGGCAGTTAGTGTATGATGAACCTTAGAAGGGTGGCCAGGGAAAGGCCCTGGAGGTATTTCAGAGAGAGGCTGTCAGTGGGCTGGATTTGAGGCAGGAGAAGGGATGGGCTTCAGAGAGCCCCATGCTGCAACCAAAAGGCAGCAGAATCAGTTGGGCTGCAGGGAGGCCTCTGTCAAACCTCCCTGTAGTTTAGCGGTAAAATGAATTGAACCTTCCAAAGATCAAATTCCTTATGCTCTGGGCAAAAAGCAACTTCCTGTTTCAAGGGTTAGAGCATACAATACTGTTTTTACTGCTTCCCTCTGCCCCTGCCCCAGCCCCTGGCTCTCTGTACCATAGCTGCCCAGCCAAAGGTTCCGTGAAAACAAAACCCACCTGGCCTATCAGATTCCTGCTCCGTACGTACCGGCTTACATTTCAGGGTCTGTGCACTGAAAGCATACAGTCATCTGGCTTTTGCCAAAACCCCAACTATTTGAAAAATGGCTGTGGCAGGGCCAGACTTAGCCCACTGTTCCCACCACCCCTGGCATATGGCCCAGATTCCCAGAGCTGCAGCTCTGCCAGGCACAGCAAAGACTGGGCACATGAGGCGTGGGTTTAGGTCCATGCTGGGACCTGTGTGTATGGGGATACTGGACACGGGCCAAGAGGACAGTGCAGCGGACACAGGATGTAGAGTTAGTGCCTGAGTGTGAGTGTGTGGTATGAGCAGTGATGGGAGTCGCAGCGTTTGTCAGCCTGCCCCGTGTATGCAGATGTAGCAATTTTAGATTCGTATGTGTGGCATGAGGTCACATGCAGTGTCTATATCGGTAATGTTTGTGAATACACATGTATTTGTATGTATTCAAGTGTGTGATATGGGAGGGAGGGAATGTTTGAGTCAATATAGGAGTGTGTGTGCACACGCATGCAAAATGTCTATGAGTGTTGCGTGGAGACCCATTATTTATGAGTACAGGTGGTACTTGATAAGCTGTTGGAGTGTATGTTTATATGGGGGTACAATACAGGGTGGAGGTAGTGTTTATGAATGCGTGTGTTCGTGTGTGGTTGGCATTTTTTGCCGTATGGGATGCTAAAAACTTATTTGTGTTTGGCGCACAATGTATGTATTGCCGTACTTGTGAACATCTACCTGTGTGTGCGGTTCTGGGAAGAGCACAGTCTCATGAATGTGAGTATGGGTGACCCATTATTTGTGCATGCAGATGTGGTAGTACTGTGGGCACACATTATAATACCACATCTGTCCAGTATGTACCTGCTGCATATGTGAATTTTAATTATTTCAATGGATGTAGTCCTAATATAATATTTCTCTCCCTTCTTTAAAAGGTTATAGTTAACATAATGAATCTTCTTGTTCTTTCTCCTTTCGTATCACTGTAAATACCCTTGTTTTGCTGACCTCTGTGGAAGGGATGCCCACAGGGGCTATAAGGATACGGATCTGTTTATAGCTATAGAAATGTTCTCAAACTGTTAACACTTCTAAAGTTGTTATGTCTACTTTTTTACAAAAGATTTCCTCTCTTTAGTTGTGCCTTCTTATAGATGTCAATGGGCCTCTCAACTTTTATCTCTCTTTTAATTTTCCTGTTTCTAATCTCCCATGAGTTAGAAACCCAGGCAGTCGCACCTATCAGAATTGTGTATAAATAAGAGTAACTGGACTCCAAAGATCTCTATGAGTAAATTTTAAGAGCTTCATTACATGTCCCTCGTGACATCTCTTTGGCTTCCTTGAGACAATCCTTGCTTAGCTTTTGGGTTTTTGATTGTTTTAGAGGCGGAGATGACCAGATAACCAGCCATCGTGATACATACGAACACACAAATGTTGTTTGGAAAGCGTTTGTGAACGTATTTGTATGTGAAGTTAGGTGTGCTGGGCCATGTGGAAGTGCACAAACACACATGTGTGTGAGTTGTGTGCAGTGAGTGTAAAGAGGCGGTGTTGCCGGATCCCATGCACCGTGTCAGTGTTGTGTGTGGCAGACACAGCTTCCTGCTTGCGAGCGAGCCCCGTGTCTTCCTATGGGTGTGTGTCCATATGCGATGGGTGCCGCACAGGGCAGGGAAGGTGACGAGGCCCCAGGCAGGGCGGGGAGCAAGGGAGCAGGAAGTTCAATGCCAGGATTCCTCTCTTGGAGGAAACACAGTGTGACCCTGGCTGAGGTCTGGTTCGTCCCCGAGCCCCAGTGAGGAGGATCCTCTCCCCTCCCCCTCCTGCCTCGTAGCTGCGCTGAGGGTCACGAGGGCCTGGAGACCGCGTAGAGCTGGTGCCTAACACCGCGCTCGTCTCATTGTTCACAGCATGGAATGATAATGATAATAGAGTAAAATCTCATCAATTCAAAGTCTCCACTTTAAAGTTTGTTCAGGGGTGGATGGAAGTTTGCCTTTACTGGATTAATGCGAGAGGTCTTGAGTGACAGTGGGGCACACGTTTCTGAACCTTTGAGCCTAAGTTAACAGAACTCGCTTTCAGCCTGTCAGAAGCCTCCGTTTTCATAGTGATCACTTTACTTCAAGCTGGTCATAAACGGGGGCCTTCATGCCTTGGGTTGGTGTGATTTTACTGCACTATTAATCATTATCATAGCAACATCACCGTAGATAAGGTGCCGTCCCCATTCTGTCCGCACCGAAGTGGAGAGGTGTGCGACCCTCCCGTTGCCCAGAGAGGCCGGCCTCGCCCGCAGTCACGCTGGTTCTCGGCAGAGCCTGATTTGGCCAGGTCTTCTCTGGGGCCCCATGCTCTCCTCCACGGCACCCCAGAACCAGGCCGGCTCTGCCTCAGCTTGAACAAGTCCCCAGGCCCAGCTCTCCTCTCTGCTTGCCGCCTGCCCTGCTCCCTGCCCACCCGGAGCAGGGCCTCACCTGCTCACTCCTCACCCACCCCGGTTCACTTCCCTGTTCATTTCTGTTTCCAGTGCAATGTGCCACCCCAAGCCCTCCCACCTCCCCTGCTTCCCCGACTCCACCAGCCAACCCCCTCTCGTCTGAATCCCCACGGGGCGCCGACAGCAGCCATACCATGCGGGTCTGAGCTCTGACGTAAGCACTTTTATACTGTATTTCATCCACCCCAGGGACTGGGACCGCTGCCCTCACCCCCATTGAGCCATGTGCACCCTCTCATTCTGGCATTGCTTCACCCCTCACCCCCAGTGCCACGAGCTGCTCTTTCCCCGCCATCCCTCTGCTTGAGCCCCCAGCATCCCTGTGCAGTGCTGGACGAGGGCTGGCTGGCCAGGCGCTTCTTGGACACTGCAATGCCAATGGGCTTTGCTTCTCCAGAAGCAGACAGGGAACAGAGCTGAGGCCTCCCTTGCCCACTGTCAGGAAGGAACTTCCCTGACACCCCTCTCCTGTCCCTCCTGTCGGCCAAAAAGCCTTCCATCTGTTGAGATACTCATCAGTCCTGCCTCAGGAGCCCCCAGAAGCTACTTCTCCCAGATCACTCCCAGATCTTATTGTAAATTAAAATAACATCGGAATCTATAGCCAAAGGCTGTGTACCTTCCTTACCCCTAGCACACAGCTGCTCAATATCAGGCAAGTGGAGAAGCACTTTGACTTTTATTGATTTGTTCCCCTCTCTCAGGGTTGAGGGAGTGGGGCGGGTTTCCAGGTTTTTATAAGAAGAGACTTCTCGCTCCTGGGAGAGACGGTCTAGAGTCTGCTTCTCTGGGTGGCACCTTTCTCACCTGATTTCTCTTTTCTTTAGTGCAAGCCCTGGCTGAGGCCAATGCTGTGAAGCTCCACAGAGCTACCTTCTGAAGCCCTCCTCTGCTCGACTGAGGTCCCGGCCCCCACTCTGGCCCCAGCCCCTGCGCTCCCATGGGAAAGCTGCAGGGAGCCAGGTTGGGGGCCAGGGGTTGCTGCTGAGAGGAGCATGGATACCCATCACACTGGGCCCTGCAGCCCTCACTACCCAGGTGGCGGTCCTAGGCCAGGGCCTGAGATGGAGGGGCGAGGAGTACCCTGTCTGATGCCCAAGTCACAGGGAGCCTAGCTGACCCTGGCTGGGCCTGTGATGGCCCTTCTGGAACATTCCCTGATGGAGAAGACATCGTGGTGGGAAAGATGCCCTGGGCGACCTTAGGGTAGAACTAGAGGTGACGAGAAGATGGGCAGCCTGCCTCTTCCAGCCCTCCTTGACACATGGACAGCCCCTGCCATCGTCCCCTCCCCCTATCAACCCTACCCTACCGCCCCAGCTTTACCCAGGGCTTTGACACATCTCTGTACATGGCTGCCCCTTTGGGGTCCAGTGGAGACTGACCACCCTGCTTGAGCCAAAGAAGCTGATGAGAGATGGGGAGAGGCTCCCTGGCTCCCAGAGGGGACGGTGCTGCTGCGGGGAGCCGGGTGGGGGGCCAGGGGTTGCTGCTGAGAGGAGCATGGATACCCATCACACTGGGCCCTGGCGCCCTCACTACCCAGGTGGCGGTCCTAGGCCAGGGCCTGAGATGGAGGGGCGAGGAGTACCCTGTCTGATGCCCAAGGCACAGGGAGCCTAGCTGACCCTGTGATGGCCCTTCTGGAACATTCCCTGATGGAGAAGACATCGTGGTGGGAAAGATGCCCTGGGCGACCTTAGGGTAGAACTAGAGGTGACGAGAAGATGGGCAGCCTGCCTCTTCCAGCCCTCCTTGACACATGGACAGCACCTGCCATCGTCCCCTCCCCCTATCAACCCTACCCTACCGCCCCAGCCTTACCCAGGGCTTTGACACATCTCTGTACATGGGTGCCCCTTTGGGGTCCAGTGGAGACTGACCACCCTGCTTGAGCCAAAGAAGCTGATGAGAGATGGGGAGAGGCTCCCTGGCTCCCAGAGGGGACGGTGCTGGCTGTGAATAGAGGGCGGCAGGTCTGTGCAGCGTCTGAGAGGAGGTAGAGAAGGGATAGGGGAGAGGGAGAGATCCAAGGAAAGTGGGAGGGAAAGAAGCAGCAGGATTCGTTTGCAAGTAAGACGGCAGAAAAGGAAAGGAGGATAGGAGAGGATTGGTTTCCCAAGGTGGAGCCATAGCTTCTTGGTGCCAGGTACAGTGCCCGACCCTCTGCTCTGCCCCTCCCACCTCGTCCCCAGGATCAGTGGGCTGATGCGATGGCCCCAGGAGGACCCACCAGTGAGCATACCGTGGCTTTCAGCTGAGTGCTGGCCAGGGGATGTGGGTGGGGAGTGAGAGGCTTGGGTAGGACAGTGTAGGAGACTGATGGCCCTTCGTAGGTCTGAGCCTAGTGTCTGCCTCTCCTATGGGCTTGAGGGCAGAGAGAAGAACCTGTTTTACACACGGTGTGGTCAGCCTTGGGGCCTTTCCTAACTATTTTCAAGATACTTTGCTTTCCCCCTTTTCCCTGGAATGTGCTGTGGGCCAGCCGAGACTGTGCCCAGGGAGAGGGACTGCAGCCTTAACCTGGGAGGCCAGATTCTAGGACCCTGCCCCACATCCCAGGCATCCCAGAGGAGGACTAGCTGAGGCTTATGGACTCCTAGCTCGGCCCTTGTGATCCATCTACCCGGGGAGGCCAGTGTGGGAGAGGCAGAAGCAAACTCTTTCTTCCTCAGCTCCGCCCACCTCTAGATGCATGTAGGGGAAGGAGGGACTGTAGAGAGGAGGGAGGGGAGAGAGCACCTCTGCGAGCCTCGGCCCCTAGGCCTTCTCTTTGCCAGAGTTGCCCCCAAGACTCCAGCCTGACCTCCAGCGGTCCCAAGATCAACTCTTTTATCTTCCAGCAATTCTTCACTCCTTCATGGCTGGGATAGTCACTGACTGATATGCAAGTAAAGATGACAGTTAATTTATCAAATATCTATCGAGCATCTTCGATGTACCAGGCACGATTCCACGTGCTTAGGATATTCTCCTGCTTATGAGGGGTCACAGACTGGGGGGATTCCACTTGTCTTCACTTCTAGCAGTTTTTTTGAACATGACCCTTGGCTACATCTCCCATCTTTAGCAAAGCTCAAGTACCCAAAACTGTCCTTTCTCCTCCACAGACTGGCAGGTAGGGTTGTCTCTTTCCCCACACCTTTCTCCATCCACAAGACACAGATTTTTTAGGGCCTTTTATGCCTTCCCCTCCCTTTGTCTATCCTTTTTTTTAAGTGATATTTTTCGAAATACATGTGAAGTACCAAGGATTAGTGTCTGCACCTCTGTCACCTGTCCCTCACCTCTTATTTCATAAAGCTGGCCCTTTATGTTGCTTTACATGCCTTAATATATGTTTTATGAAGATTATACATATTATAGATATATATGTAATATATATGTTTGGATGTCTGGTCCTTTCCTAGAACTCCTGCCCAGGCCCACTTTCTCTCCTCTGCTTTCCACACCATTCCGAGCACGTTGCGGCCGTACCCTATGCCTTTGATCCAAAGAAGGGGAGAGAAAGACTTATTTTAAGACAGGTATATTTTACGCTTTTGTTATAAAAGCAAATCTATTTTCAAAGTGTGCAATGTCTGAATGGAATTGGAGAGCGATATGAGGCTGGGGTGGCTGCCCCGAGGTCCGACCCTCCACCTTTCCTCCTTCGCCAGCACCCTCCCTCCTCCCACTCCATGGTCTGCAGAGGATTGGTCCCAGAGCTCAGAGAGCATCTTGCCAGGGCAGGACGTTCCCTTGGAAACCCTCGTCTAAGGATTTGATTACATTGTCACTGTCAATTCTTGATGACCCTCTAGGGTTATCGGATGTGAATCCTCTGGAAGGAAATGTTTACAGTGTGTGCCCAAAGTACACCCATGCAGCACCCCGCCCCCCACCCCTACCTCTCCAGCCCAGAAATGCTCCTGGACCACCTGCTTTCATCAAAGGGCAGAGAGTTTAATGGCAGCCTGTGCCAAACAGCACCAAGAATGTCAGTCTGGTCCTCGATGGAGCCAGGATACAGTGCAAAGGCCAAAGGAAATGGTTTGGGGTCCCTGGTCCTGCGATGCAGATGTGTTCCAGTTCCTTGGACTTCTTACACTCCTTTTCACTCGACTCCTTTCTGGTCCGAGTCACGTCTATGGCATCTGTTTTCCTCTGTGACCTTTCCTCTGGGAGCCGTTGTTAAGGGCCCCGGTACCTTGGTCTGGCATCCAGACTGTGAAGTCAGCTTCTGGGCTGAGGAGGGTTCCCCGGACAATGTAGCATCTCAGCCTTGCCTCCAACAGCCCCAAGGAATTCCTCCAACCACTGCCACGGGGGTGCCAGACTAAGACAGCTCAACCTTCCAAACTGCTTATCAACTGTTGAAGTGGGCGAGGGGCTCTTGCCTTGCACAGATTTGGGCAGGATGAAAATCTTTTGTTCAGATCTGGAATCTTGGGTTTTGGAATTGAGCACAGAACTCCTGGCCATCATTGGAAGCCTGACTTCCCAACTTTGACACTTACTGGCCCCTATTCCCAGCCTAGAGCATCTTGCTATAAATGACTGGGGCCCAGACGGAGGCTCAGGGCTGAGTACCCCACCTGGGGATAGCCCTGGTTACTAATCTAGAGCCTTCCCATTAGCACATTACCTCCCTGATCAATAACCAAGAGGCTGCAATCAAATATTGCTATTGTCACTTTAAAGATTTTCTGAGGTTGCAAGCTGTGCACATTTGCTCTCCTGCCTTGGCGAGAGGCATGTTCTTGGGACAGGGCTGACTATAGCAAGAGGAAACAAATTCTTTTCCCTTTTAGGCACCCCCCCAACCTGAAAGCTCTTAAAACTAAGGAAAATATGAAATATACATATATATACATATATCTATTTATGCACATATTGGGGCCAATCTGATTTGCTAGTATTAGACAATAAACCATACAAGGAAATGTATGATTTCAGTGTCTTTACTTAGAATAAAAGTGACCTTAGAAGAGTTAAGGTTAGACAAACAAGGAGCATCTCCGTCAGGGGACCAAACAGCAGTAGCAGCCCCTCAGCATCTTTCTAACCAATGAGTCCTCTCCCTGGGGAAGGGGGCATCCTGACTGATAGACGAGAGTTTGGGTCCCCCTCCCAGCAGCATTCTTTTTAGATATAGGTACTGAAGAACCCCTGTGAGCTCTGCATTTGTATCTTGCAAGTTTGTATAAACCCAATACAGGAAATAAAATGAATGGTTTGTATAAGTGGTGTGTCTCTTGCATTCTGTGTCCATGTCCGCCTATGGCTGGCATTGGGGTTCATGGCAATTTATGGGAGTTCTGGGGCCTGAGTAAGAGCAGAGATGGGTTTAAAGCATATGCGCCACCACCACCCACAACCCCCTGCCTCAGGCTGCACATCTCAGCCTCCTCCCAGGCAGCAACCCCAGAGTTCTCAGAGTGCCTCCTCCCCATGAATCAGGGGGTGACAGTGTGCTGTCAACACCAGGGTCATCTTTTTGGCCCAGGTGACCCCAGATCAAAGCTTGTCCCAAGATCCTTTATAATACAAGTATCAGATGCTTCAGGCCCTGGAGCCTTCCCCTGGATTTGGTCTCTATGAGACTGAGGATAGGACTGCAAGAGAAAAAAAATAACTCTCAGCCTTTCTTGATTACTACATAATGCCATTTCTGCTTTAGAGTGCAAGAAGGTATATGATTGGGGAGGGGGGTTATCAGAAAGGCCACCCAAATTCTTTTCATTCAGCCTCAATGCTTTGGGCGGCTACTTAGTGATTATCAGTTATTGAGGCTCAATGCGAAAGACTTTATCAGGGCAGCTCAATTTGAAATCTTTCTGTGAAGAGTAAGAGTAAAGAAGCTCTATAAATTCCATGGGATGGGGAGTGAGAGAGAAAGTGAACCCAGGGTCAAGGCATCCCCCATCTAGACTTCTGCAGGATGTCTGGGGAGAGATGGAGCCATTAGTGGTTCAAGGAAGAGAAAAAAATTAAGAGGAGATAGGAAGGCAAGCTTCCTCTAATTCCCGATTTCGCCTTGGTCTAGTTATAATGGCTGATTTTGAATCCTGGATACCTGTCCTTATCCCTAAAGGGCTGGTAGAGTGAGTACAAATAAAGTACTTTTTGGATTTTGTAACACCCCTGGGAGAGCTATAAACCCTGATGTACTTTGTGAATCAGGGACAGTTGCGGCCATAGGCAGGCTCAAAACAGGCCTTTTGGGCTGGGGAGGTGCATTGGAGAACTCATCAAATTCTGGGGCTGGGGCTGGGGCTGGGGCTGTGTCCCTATCTGCAGCCCCGTCTAGGCCAGAGCTCCTGGCTTGGAGAAAAGGTTGGACACGAGAGCACAGAGCACCACTGGGCGTCGCTGTACCCACTAACAAGGGCAGGCTCCTCTCCAGGGATGGTGTCCACAGGTCTCCGGCTGCTCCACCTCCTGGCCCAGAGCAGCCCGCCGATCTACAGATTTATCGATTGAGCCAGGCTAGGGCTGTAAAAGGGGCACTCAGGAAATGTAAATGAAACAGCATACTAACAATGCTTTTTTAGGAGTGGTGCTCTGTAACTGCGTGGTCATTTATTTATTCTTAAAGAGAGGCATATCGATGTCAGGAAGGCAGCCAGGCTTCGGACCCTGCTGCTCCCAGGGAACTGGGGTCATAGTGCACCCCTCATCCCTGAGCCTCCAGTGCAGAATTGACCCCCCCCACACACACACATTGCTGAGACTGATGAGAGAGAAGGTGATGTCATGCTCAACTCTTGGCTCTGCTCCTTGCTAGCTGCATGAAGATTGGCACAAGTCCCTAAAATCCTTGAGTCTCAGTTTCTTCATCTGTGAAATGGAGACATTAATACCATCTTACGACACTCTCAAGAAATTCAAATGAGAAAATGGAAGAAAAACACTTTGAAAACTCAAATTCGCTTACAAACGTGAGGAGGTGGTGGCAACGCTGTGTAGGCCCGTCAGCCGCCTTCAGGGGCCTGATGAGGGAAGAAGGAGGATGTTTCCTAAGTCACCCTCTTTGCCGAAAGCCAGGGCCCCTGCCGTTCAGCCCTCTGAGGTGTCCTTTCCCTGTCTACTTCTACTCCTCCAGCCCCAGGGAGAAGTGCCAGGCCTTCCCCATGGTGGCCAGGCTTGGGCTACCATAGGCTGAGAATCAGCCCAGCCTTCTAGGGCCTATGTCCTTCTCCCAGGGGTTACCCCTGTGAACGGGCTCTCTCCAGGAGGGCGGGGGCTGTGGACAACCTCTCTGGGCCCAGTGCTGCCATCAGAGAATATGGCCAGGAGGGCCCAGTTTCAGGAAAGTTCAGTTCTGAGCTCACAGGCAGGCTCCGTGGCGGGAGGGAAAGGTATTCTAAGCTGCTATTTTATACACCTGTAGGAGCAGTTTAGAGATGAGAGCAGAAGTCTTTCATAATAGTATTTAATAGTATACTAATAATAGTAATATAACAATAGTAATTAGTATAACTATATGAGAAGAGTAATGATAATGGCTCATTAAGTATTTACTATGTGCCAGGTAACTTCGTATGTATTTACTCACTAATTCTTGTTATATCTCTATGTCAAAGGTAATTATTATCCAGGAAACTGAGGCACAGAAAGTATAAGTAAAATGTCTACAGTCTCACGGAGCTCTGATGAAGCCCAGGGTGCTCCGACTTGAGAGCCCAACCTCTTAATTAACCAGTGGTTTCAGTGGGGGTGATATCGCCCCCTAGGGGGAACTTTGGAAATTTTCCGAGGAGCTTAAGGGGGCAAAACTCTTAATGGCATTTAGTGGCTGCAGTGCACAGGGCAGATTTCCACGGTAAATATTTGTCCTCTATTATGCACAACTTTAAAATGTGCAAGTGAACTACACCCACTACCAACCAGTATAAGTCGGTCCTACTGCAATTCACAATAGTACTAAAAAGTTTTTATGAGCTTCTAAGTCTTTTTAAAAGCTTCTAAGTTTTTTGTGTTTTTTTTTTTATGTTTCATGAATAACTCAGCAAGTTAGAAGATGGTTATTATAGAGAAGAAACTTAAATGGAATAAAGACATTGTCTCGAATTATTGAATAATCTACTCCATGCACTGTCTATTATAACCTTTCAGCCCTGTATATTTGGTTGAAAACAGTTCTGGTGTAGTAGGGTCTTACTGAATAAGCAAAGAGAGTGACCGTAAATATTTAACACAGGAAATCTGAGACAACCAACCAGTATGAAGAAAAGAAGAAATACAAGGAATCTCATTGGATTTCCTTAATAAATATTTTTAGAAATAATTTTACATTATTGCCATTTTTTATATTTTTAAAGTTTTTGCAGCCCAAGGTTGAACACCTATGTTGTAATGATTACACGTGGAAATGTTTTGGGGAATTGCCTGTATCTTTCTCTGACATTGTCCCAGGGGTTCACATGAAATTGCTCTAAACCACTTATATCACCATTTCTCTTTCCAATCCATCCTCTATTGCCCATTGCCTATGGGGAATACTTGATCTCCAAAGCCTTTTAAGATCCTATGGACTAAATCACACCCCAACACGCGATAGCGTTTCAAGACAGAGACCTATGTGTCTGTGATACGCCCACCGCCCACTCCATGACACGGGAGCTACATCAGCAATGCGCGCAGAAGACCCAGTTCCTTGCGTTCACATCGTGCTTCCTCATTTTCTCCACTTTGCCATCTCTAATTTGCCTTGCTGTGTTATTCCTACTTCAATTAAGGTTATTTCCCTCTTTCTCTTTTTATATGCAAGTATATCTTGTCTGTTATTACTTACCTAACATTAATCTTTATTCTAGTATTTACTCCCTACTACTTTTTTTTTTTAGATTGCATAATGTCTCTAGTCTTCTATTTCTCTTAAATTTCGAATTTAAGTGGGTGCAAGCAATCTGCCTATTTCATTTATGTTTTCTGGTCTTGCCTGAGCATTTATATATTGAGAGACATTGTGTTTTATTATAAATTATTCTTTCCTCTTCTTTTTTTATGATTAGCTTTATTTGCGTTTTTAAAAATGATGTATGTAGATTGGTCATATCATCTATAAACTTCATTTCAGGATAGAGGGGACATTACAAAGGGGATCCTGGCTCTAATGGGGTTGAGAACCACTGCCCTACAATGGGATAAAGGATGTTAGGAATGATCTTACACTCTTCGGGCCCACAGAGGAAAGAAAGGATGCATCCGAGTCTACACAGCTGGTGAGCAGACTAGAACCAGGCTTCCTCTATAGTCCAGCCCTACCCCAAGTCCAAATTCACTTTCATCTTCCATAGCTCAACCTGACGGTCCAAAGCTGGCCCCCGGTGGGGAAAAAGAGGTCGATGACTTTTGTGTCTAACTCCCCTAGGGGGCTTTTGCCCTGGATTTAACCCAATCTGGCTCTCCCCTGAGACTAGGAGCAACAGGTTTCACTCAGTTGTTTGTCGCCCCCTAGGGTTATAGCACAAAACAAGCGAACTACTTACAAGATGAATTTTGTACTTTTCCAAAGAAACAGATCCCAACTCTTCCCTCACCCTCCATTAAACCCAGCAAAGAACCTAGGTACCTCTAGGTCCCAGTTCTTTAATATTTAGTCCAAATTTTGCGGATGAGAAAGAAGCAGCTGAACTCAACCTCAGGGCTTGGGGTGGGGTATAGAGGGGTCAGGTGGGCAACGCCTCTGGGTGGCCAATGTGTGGAGGGGCAGTGCCTTCTGGGAAAAAAAACAGAAGGGAACCTGTGACTTTAAGCAGCTCTGTGTGTGCGTGTGTGTGTGTGTGCGTGTGTGTGTTTGCGTGTGTGTGTGTGTGTGTGAGAAAGTGTGGGGAAAGTTAATGATTTATAAGAGGTTCATTTCACAACTTACCAAGGGTCAGCTTCCCCTGAGCATATACAAGCTCAGTCTTCTTTACAACTCACGCCTGGCCAGCTTCAACCCCGGAAGATACCCCAGGCAGCCTGCAGCATGATCTCCATCACTGAATGGCAGAGTGAGTGCAACGGGCCCTGCTGCAGAGGGGCTAGGCTGGAATGGGGTGTCCAGGCTAGGTGAGGGACAAGATGATGCCCTCCCCAGCTGAGATCACTTTCTGGGGAACTGTGAGGTGACCTCTGGAGCCAATGGCCTGGAGCTGCTGTGTTGGCATCCTCCACGCAGCAGGGCGACAGCTGGGTGTGGCTTTTCTGCCTTCCGGGAGTAAGGGATTCGGGTTGTTCAGGGCCCCTGGGTAACCCAAGGCTGGTGCCCGGGGGAACTGGCAAATTTACCACTCAAGCTGGTGCCTTTCCCATTCAGGGTTCTTAGACCTGGAAAGCTGCAAACATGGACCCAGGAGGCTGCTGCCCATTCAGACATCTTTCCCTCACAAATTTTCAGGGTCTCCTATGGCCCTGGGTCCCTTCTTGACAGAAACTAAACTCCACTCCACTTCCCATTCAGTGAACAAATTTGTCTCCTCTGTGTGCCAAGCACTGTGTTAGGCATAGAGTATACAACAGTGAATAACACAGACATATACCTAGTCTACCATCTAGAGTGGGGGATTAACAGATAAAGAAGTCAGTATGTAGTATGTCAGGTGGTGATACATCCTTTGGACAAAAATAAAACAGGGAAGGATGCTAGGGAGTATGAGGCAGGAGGGGTTACCATTTTGTACAGAGCTGTCAGAAAAAAGCTTCACTGAGAAGGGGCCTTTTATACAGAGACCCACAGGAAGTGGAAGGAAAAAGCCATGCCGCTATCTGGAGGGGAAAAATGTTCTAGGAAGAGAAGAGAGCCAGTGCAGAGGCCTTGAGGCATTGGCCTACTTGCTGTGTCTGAAGAATGAGGAGGCTGGTTTTGATGGAGGGACGTGGGCAGAGGGGAATGTAGGAGGAGTTTAGTCATGGAGGCTGCTGAGAGACCAGACTGTATAAGAACTCTGGTTTTATCTCCATAAGATGGGAAACCACTGGCGGGTTTTTGTGCAAAGAAGTGATACAGCCTATTTATATTTTTAAAAGATCACTCTGGATGTTGGGTCGAGAATGGATTGTAGTGGGGTAAGGTCAGCAATAGGGAGACTAGTTCTGAGGTGACAGATGGTGGAGGAGACCAGCATGGTAGCAGTGAACTGGTGGGAAGTGGTCAATGCTGGATCCGTTTTGAGAAATTTGCTGAAAGGATTTACTGATGGATTCGATGTGCAGTGTGAGAGAATGAAGTCAAGAATGATTCCAATATTTTTAGTCTGAGCAATTAGAAGGGTTGAGTAGGGGGAGGCAGGAGCCGAGTTACACACATGTTGAGTTTGCAATGTTAATAGACATCCAGATAGGATGTCAAGTAGGTGGTCAGGCAAGTGAGTCTGGGACGGAGGGAGAAATTTGGAGTTGCCAGCATATAGATGATATTTAAAACCATGAGAGTCTGTGAGATCACCTGGGGCACAGTTTCTCAGCCTCCCTACTGCTGACATTTGGGGGCAGCGTAATTCTTTGTTGTGGGGTATGTCCTGTGCATTATAGGATTTTAGTAGCATCTCCGGCCTCTACACACTAGAAACCAGTAGCACACTTCCACACTCAACTGTGACAGTCTTCAGACATTAACAAATGTATCCTGAGGATCAAAATCACCTCGTCCCTCCCACCCCCCAACTCATTCCCCGAGATGAGAACAACTGACCTTACCTTAATATTCTTAAAAATATAGAGAAGTAGTGCCTGAGCCCAGTGGCGAGCCAACATTTTATTAAACTAAAATGTGCTAAGTCTTATGAAGAATGTGCTAAATCCTGTTAGAGAAAGAAAGAAATGAAGGAACCAGATTTGAGTCAAGGAATGGAGAGTGAACCAGGTTTCCTGAAGAACTGACATTGGGTTAAGACCTGAAAGATGAATATGCTTTAGGCAGATAATGAGTGGGAGGGAACTGCCCAGTCAAAGGCCCTGAGGCAGAAAGGTGCATTACGGAAACAAGGATGTAGTTTGAGTGTGGCAGGTAAGCGGGACAATGGCAGGAGATGAAGTTGGACCAGCAGGCCTAGGCCCCCTTATACAGGGCCCGTGAGCAGAGGAATGGAAGGGAGGACGCTGTTTCATCTAAGCCCAGTGGGAAGCCATGAAGGATTCTGTGCTGTGCATGAATATGGTTGGATCGTATGTTTTCCAAGATGCCTGCCTGCTGTGTGAAGAAGGGAGAAGAGGGTGGCAGGAGTGAAGCGGAGACTAACAGGAGAAGGTTAGAGGGTTCCAGAACAAAGACGAAGGTGACTTGGAATTAAGGGGTAAGAGTGGAGAAAAACGGGCAGCTTTCATGATACATGGGAAGAGGAAGCAATAAAACTTAGCTGTGGCTTCACCAAGGGAGCGGTGAGGAGACTCAGTGACGGCTCCTGGACTTTTGCTACAAGCTGCCGGGCAGGTGGTGACATTTTTATTCATTTGGGGAAAACCAAGAGAGGTACAAGTTTAAGAAAAGAATATCAATAAGGCAGTTTGGACCTGCTGAATTTAAGATGCCTCGATGAGAGAAAACCAGGCAGATACGCTAAGCAGGCAGTTGGATATGAGTTTTAGAAGCTCAAAGAGAAGCCTGGGGTATATAAATAATAATAAATTTCATATATTAAAGATAAATATCAACATCGTCCACACAGAAGTGATATTTAAGGACATGGAAATACGTGTGAAAATAGGATGAGAAGTGAACTTGGACCAAAGTCTTGAACAATTCAAATCCCAAGAGGAGCTGGCAAAGGAGACGGGGGAAGGATAATCAGAACAGCAGGAAGAAAATCAACATGCTGTCATGGAATCCAAGAGACAAGATATTTCAAGCAGGGAGCGGCCACCTGCTAACAGATGAGGGCTGACACCTGTCCATTGGATGTGGGAACATGGACGTCACAGATGGCCAAAGCAAGAACAACTTCTGCGGAGGAGCGTGGGGCGGAAAGTAGACTGGACTGGGTTGGTTAAAGGCATTTTTTCCAGAGCCAGACGACCAGAATCAAACCCTGGTTCTGCCAGCTGCTGACTGTGTGACCCAGGCAAGTGACTTGATCGCTCAGTGTTTCAGTTCTGTTTGTGAAATGGGGCTAACAGCATACCTACCTCACAGGCAGTTGTGAAAATGCAATGAGTTAATAAGACTTAACAGTGCATAGACTGTGCCTGGCACTGTGTGCTCATTCGTGTTAGTGGTGGTTCTATTAATCACTACTGTTAATTTTGAAAAGTAAAAGAAGGCTCTTTCTCTCCCCATTTTCCTCCTTCCTCTTCCTGAGCAATCCAGTCCTAAAGCCATTAGGTAGAAAGTGGGTGGGGGTGGGGTGCCCAAAGCAGGTGTCAGAGCCCTAGCCAGGTGGAAGGGGGTTTACTCTGGGGTTGGCCTGGTGCCAACGCAGGGCGAGGAGAGTATCCTGGCAGTGTCAGCGCAGGGGGTGGAAAGGAACTTTATACTGGAGGAGGCTGGCAGCCACCACCTTAATCAAGTGGTCAAAGAAACATCATCAGTAATGGGCCAAATTAAAATCACATGTGGCTTAATCGATGCAATGAGAAGAACACAGCATCAAATCTTGCTCGTATTTCTGCATAACCAGTATCTAGTCATGAGCAAATTATCAGACAAGCCTAAGTAGAGGGACAGCTACAAAATAACTGGCCCAAATCTTCAAAAGTGTCAAGATTAGGTCAAGGAAAGACTGAAGAACTGTTCTAGACACCAGAGACTAAAGAGACATAGACACCAGATGCTACACGTGATTCTCGACTGGATGCTTTTGCTACAAATTAAATTACTGGGACAACTGATGAAACTTAAATGAGGTCTAACTTTAGATGGTAGTAGTGTATCAGAGTTAATTTTCTGACTTCGATGCTTGTATCCTGGCTACATAGGAGAATAAAGGAAAACCACACTAAAGTATTCAGGAGGGCTGAGGTAGCCCATGGCAACTACTCTGAAATGGCTCAGGAAAAAAATTCTTTGTACTGTACTTGTGACTTTTCTATTCATTTGAGAGAGAGAGAGAGAGAGAGAGAGAGAGAGAGAGAGAGAGAGAGAGAGAGAGACTGAGATGAATGAATGGTATTCCAAGGCTCTCTACACAGCCTCGGGCCAAAAGTACCCGTTCACTTGCTCCAAGAGATACTGCTTTCCTTTCTGGAGCAAGAAAGATATTGAACCTGACTTCAGTTAATGCGAGCTACAGAGTGGGAGTCAGGGTAGCCTGGCTGTGGGCTCTTCTTGGCAGCTGCTCTGGAGCTGCAGAATGGGGGACTAAAGCCTGCCGTACCAGGGAGCCCTAAACCTGGTCTGTTTCTGAGGTCTGGAGAAGTCTTAGCTTCTCACTAAGTGGTGCCCTGGAGATCCGGGCCTCCCTGAAGAGTGACCAGAGCCACCCCCCCCGCCCCCCGAGATCTCAGCTGGAGTCTATGACATCCCTGGCCCATCTCCAGCAGGGGCCGCGGTGCCCCTATGTCTGGATCCTGGGGACCGTGGGCTGTGGGCACTTCTGTCACTCCTGGTGACATGCCCCACCACCCCTGCCTTCTGAGAAGGACTTCGGGAGCAACCCCATGACTGAAATCGCTGAGCTACTCTGCAAGTGGGAGACCTAGGAAGATCTGAGGCTCGTGTGTGAGAAACAGCTTCTGATCCTTTCCGGTGAGGTTTTGTGTCCACCCTAGATTTTTTCCACTGAACACTAGTAACACTAAGCATGGCCCATAAAGAAGACTGTGCCCATTACAGGAAAATTCTGGAATAGTACTAGCCCTTGAAGAAGAGTGTGGAACAAGTTGGAAAAGTAATAACTGGCAAATCACTGTTGCAGGAAAGTTAGGAGAAAAGATACAAAGTGTGAATTCAAGAGAGACCGTTCTTAAGTGTTTACAGGATGGACATATGAATATTTTAACAAAACAAATGAAAATCCAATAAAATGTTCACATTGTGTTTCCACACAAAATCAACTACTAAAGGAGTTAGAGGAAGAGAGTGAATAGTCAGAACTGGAATCAATGACATGTTTTTATGGCAGGTCCGAGCTAAGACCAGATATTTTTACAACAGGCATAAAATCTTGAAATATCTTTGTCATGCAGATGAAAGAATATGGTTGTGGTCTTCCTCCACAATAGCCCAGCCTATCTAAAATCACCATGACAAAGTAGATGTACTTCTAGATCCTCAACATAGTTTCTCTGAGGGTAGAGAAATAACACAGTTTGAAAGGACAGAATGCGAACTTCGTAATGACCCAAGGGGGCGGTGCTGCAGGGCATAGGCTCTAAGAGATTGAATTCAGGCCTTGCTAGGAGGCGTAAATAGGAAACAAGCCCCAATGGATCACAGAGGTGGATTGGAATCAGGGGAGTCAGCCCTCAGTACAAAATGGATTCTGGGAGGTTGGGCCACATGTTGACAGAAATGATGTTCCAATGGGTCCTAACAGAACCTCGCTCTGCTGAAAGAGAGACCCAGTAAGACTAGCATTTTTCTGGACTATAAATTGAGTGAGGTTTCAGTCTATAATTTGAATGATAAATCTAATCTCTATATTTTGAACGATTCTTTTTAAAATGCCCTTTGGCCTTACTTCTGTTCTGGAACTGGTCCTAATCCTCTAAAACTCTGTGTGGTAACAGATTATGAAAGATTAGCTACCCAGAAGATGGTTCAAAATGCGTTTCATTTTCTTGCACTTGTAAATATAACTCAGTAAGTCTAATCACAATAATTTTGTCTTCATTTTGTTTTGTTTTTACAGTTCTGCCTCTTAATAGCTAGACAACATTTTACAACTATCTGTAAAAGCATGGCAGTAGCACTAATTTTATAGAGCTCGTGAGGGCCAATTCTAAGATGTTAGTTAACAAATTCAGTAAAATTTTTCTCTTTAAAAATTACTTGTGACATAATTAATTATTAATTAAAATTACTCGTCTTTTAAAAATCAAACCAACTTCAAATTTTAAAAATTAAGCCATTTTAAATGAAGTTACGCAAGTTGTAGCTTAAAAGATACTTTTTGCTTTATCTTTAAGAAATATTCATGCCATATCCCTATCCACCATACCATTTACAATAAAAAAAAATAATAAGGCATTCTAGCTACATTAAGTAAATAAAGTACATTGCAAAACTGTATGTACAAATAAACTTGAAGTTGTACAACCTCATCAGTAATTTTTAAAATAGACACAACACAATTCCATTTATAATAGCATCAAAAAGAGTAAAATACTCAGGAATAAACTTAACCAAGAAGGCAAAAGACATGTACAGGCATAGCTTGAAAAAAATGCAGGTTTGGTTTCAGACCCCTGCAATAAAGCAAACTGTAATCTTTTTGCTGGTGGAAGGTTTTATGTTCAATTTGTGAAAAACATAACATCTGTGAAGCACATTGAAATGAGGTATGTCTACACACTGAAAACTAATAATGTTGCTGAAAGAAATTTTAAAAGATACATATAAATAGAAAGACATCCTGTGTTCATGGCTTAAAAGATTTAATATTGTTAAGGTGTCAATACTACCCAAAGCAATCCATAGATTCAATGCAATCTCTTTCAAAATCACAATGATTTTTTTTTTTGGCAGAATAAAAAAAATCCATCCTAAAATTCATTTAGAATCTCAAGGGATCTCTAATAATCAAAGAAATCCTGGAAATAAAAAAAAAAATTGGAGGTTTCATACTTTCTAACTTCAAAACTTATTACAAAGCTACAGTAATCAAAACAGTATGGGATTCACATAAAGACAGGCATATAGACCAATGGAGTATAATAGGAAGCCCAGGAATAAACCCTGGCCTATATGGCCAAATGATTTTCAAGAAGACCATTCAGTGGAAAAATGACAGCCCTTTCAATAAATATATTGGGAAAACTGAATATCCACAGGCAAAAGAATGAAGTCGGATCCTTATCTTACACCATATGTAAAAATTAACTCAAAGTTAATTTTAGCTCAAAGTAAGTTATATAACTCTCAGATGAAAACACAGGAGAAAAGCTTCATGACATGGGATATGACAATGACTTCTTGGATATGATAGCAAAATACAGGCATCTAAAGAAAAAATAGATAAATTGGACTATATCAAAATTAAGAACTTCTGTGCATCAAAGCACATAACCAGCAGAGTAAAAAGGCAATCTATGAAATGGGAGAAAATATTTGCAAGTCATATATCTGATAAGAAGTTGGTATCTAGAAAATATAAAGAACTCCTACAACTCAATAAGCAACAACAACAAAAAACCTGTTTAAAAAAATGGGCAAAGGACTTGAATGGACACTCCTTCAAAGAAGATATACATATGGCTAACAAGCACATGAAAAGATGCTCAATATCACTAATCATTAAGAAAATGCATATCAAAATCACAATGAGATACCACTTTACATCCATTAGAATGGATGCTATAAAAAACAAAACAAAACAAAAGAGCAAGTGTTGGCAAAGATGTGGAGAAACTGGAACCTTCGTACATTGCTGGTGGGAATGTAAAATGGTGTGACTGCTATGGAAAACAGTATTGTGGTTCCTCAAAAATTAAATATGATCCAGCAATTCCACTTCTGGGTATAAATCCAAAAGAAGTAAAAGCAAAGTCTCGAAGAGATATTTGTTCACCCATATTCATAGAAGTGTATTCACAATAGCCAAAAGGTAGAAGCAACCCAAGTGTCCATCCACAGATGAATAAACAAAATGTAGTATATACATACAATGGAATATCATTCAGCCTTAAAAAGGAAGGAAATTCTGACTGGTACATACTACTACATGGATGGACCTTGAGGACATTGTGTTAAGTGAGTAACAAAATGACAAATATTGCATGATTCCACTTATATAAGGTACCTAGAGTCATAGAAACAGAAAGTACAATGGTGGGTACCAGGGCTGCAGGAAGGGAGGGATGAGGAGTTAGTGTTTAATGGGTACAGGGCTTCGATTTTGCAAGTTGAAGAGAGTTCTGGTTGGTGGTGACAGTAACACGACAATGTCAATGTACTTAATACCACTAAACTGTGTACTTCAGAATTGTTAAGATGATAAATTTTATGTGTATTTTATCACAATTTAAAATAAAACTTCAATTTAGTTCAATTTAAAATGAAGCAATACAATGAATTGTCATTTGTTGACTATCAGTGGCAAAGAAAAGTTGACAATTCCGTGTGACAGAGAGAGTTTAAGAAAAAAAGAACTTCGTGTCCTGTTATTGTTACAACTCTTCTTAAATATAAAATATTTATCACATTTCATATTTGTGCAATCTGAAATATGTATCAAAATGTCAAAAATGTAGCCCTTGACCCAACAAGGGAGCTTTAATATTCTGTACTTTTGCACTGTGCTCACTGGCTCTGAGCAAATTCCTGCAATTCAGAGAATGCCCCAAGACACAAAGCCAAAAGAAAAGACACTACAGACTGAGGCTGGGGCACTGTTAGTGTGGGTCCAACCTTTGGCAGAACTGCCTGGCCACTGTGGCTGAAATTAGGACGCTCAGGGGTGTGCGGTGAGCACCCATGGCAGCTGCTGCAGGAGGGAGGGAGGAGAAGGGAGCGGGTGTCAGCTCAGGTGTAGACTCCATGTGGAAAGATGAGCGTCCTGATTGACGACTTCTATTTTTCCAATCAAGTATGAGAGGTCAACACTGGAAAGCTTGGGACAGGGAAAGTTTAGGAGAGGAAGGAGACAGTGTTAAGAGTTGTTCGGGAGGGCTAGCCTCTTGAGAAATACGCAGGACAGCTGGGTGGTTTCAAGACCTTTTGGGGCTGGTAGCCATGTGCTGTCAGTGGTCCCCTTCTACCTGAGTGTGGGTTGGGCATCAGCGGCTCCCAACTGCAAGAGGATAGGATCACTGTGGGCAGATGGTTGTGTTCAGCTAGGGGCTCAATCCTGATAATGATCTAGATGATGCAGCCTTTGAAGCTGAGGGGAAGCTGGAAGTGGTGAGGTAGCACTAGCTACCTCGTAGGGTTGTTGTGGGGACCGAATGCCGTGATGTGAAGAACTGACTAGCAGTTTCCAGGTGCTAGATGTAGATTTGTGCACATTCTTCCCTTCCTGTCTCATCATTCCCCAAATGCACAGGAGCTGAGATTCCTGGATGAAAATGGAATCTTGCCTCTCCATCCCCCACCCCCAGAGGGTACCTGTCCAGTGGCTTTGGGGGAAAGTTCTAGCATCCCCACCTGCACTCTAGAGTCTATCCCACCACAACCTCCTCACCCATTGCAGAGCTTGGTGTGGGCACCACCGGCTTCGGCATCTTCTTCATCTTCCTTGGAGTACTCCTATACTTTGATTCCGTGCTCCTGGCCTTCGGAAATGTGAGTGCCCCTGCCGTGCGGACCGCTCCCAACCTACCTGGCCCCTTGCGGGGGTCAGCCCCAAGATCCTTCAAATCATGCCCATCCAGGGGTCAGGTGCCATCAAGCTCGGGCGAGTGAGGGTAGCTGGGAATGGACGGTGAGGCCCACTGGGTAGAGAATCTGAGGACCTGGGGGAGGCCCTGGGGATGCCAAGTGGAAGCAGACACTGTCCATCCATTGGAATCGCTCCAGTTAGGGATAGCGACGTCATACGAACCA